GTCATACCGGTAATTGCAGACCACAAAACTACAAGTATCCCATCCCACGCAAACAATTTATATCGTAATTTGCAATTTTTAAGCCTAACTCCCTAGGCCTAGGTCTAGGATGTACATGTAGCCTCGATCCTGCAAAATCCTCTAACTGGCCTCATTGAAAAATTATAGCATATCTATGTATAGCCTCAATCCTGCAAATTCCTCCATTATTTCTTGAATATGGTCCATGGAGGGGTGACCACTGCCTGAATCCTGCAAAATCCTGCGGCAGTGACTGTCAATATGTTGAGGCTTGGCCAGTGACATCCTGGAGCAGTACGGAGGATGTCAAGCATAATCCAGACCTATATTTATGCATGGCTGAGCAAAAACAACACAAGGTCCAGCCCAAGACCTTGACAAAGTGCATCCTTTTGGTGGCAAAGAGGATTTTGAAGGATTCAGGGCGGTAAGGGTTAATATACACGTAAGTGGGGCTCAGTTGAACCATAAAGCAAGATGGTTGAAAAAGCCAGCCCCATTAAGATAAAAAAAAGTGTGTGTTCACCTTACTGGGGACGAGATTGGGGGAAAATGATCATTCCACGAAATTGGCAGAGATTTTGTTGGTTGCTGATGCCCGTAGAACAACGTAGGGGTCTACATACATGTACACGTTCAGTGAACCAGTATGTTTGTATGCATGTAACACATGTAAAAGAACCTAATTTTCAGCTTTCAAAAGTGTTCTTATTTAAAGGGAATGTACAACATTTGCTTTTGCTGGAATTTTCAGAAACAAATGGATTTGGAGGATTAGTATGTTAGAGAAAATATTGTTTAACTGACTTGTTTCACGTTTTGGGCTTGTAGGTGCTGGAAAAAACAAAGAAAACCTATCATGTTCTTGTAGTCTGGTTCCCTGACCCCACTTAAGATGAAACGGAGCAATTAATTCACTTTGGGGAATTGTAAGGTCAGAGAATTACTCTAGCAGGCTTGTACCCCTGCATAGGTGTGTAATCAATTGCAAAGAAAAGTCAGAATAACTAAATATGAAAAATTAGGAACAGTTGTTGGAAAAAAGCCAGTTTTCTCCAACGCTGGTCGGCTGACCAGCGTTGGAAAAATACAGGTTTCTTCAAAATGTCAGCACACCAGGAGCCACGATTTTAAAGGATGCTTTAGAATGTCAGTCCCTAACAATTCAGTAAGGTATTTCGTGATAATTTGATCATTTTGTTTTTTGATGTTTGCAAATGTTGTATCTTCCCTTTAACAAGAAATCCTGGAATAAGGAGAAGTTTTGACAAGAAAATCCTGAAATCAGGAAAAATCCTGACAAGTCTCACTCGTGTACTATACTCATGTGCATCAAGTACGGTATTCTCAACAAAAGGTGAGCCACTATGGGCTCCATACGCCAACAAAAGAGGGCGCCCTTTTACCTAGCAATAACGTCCAATGGACGGGACATTTAGCTGGTTGACGCGCACCGTTCCTTGTGGTGACGCACGTACACCATGGAATTTGTAACACCCAGTGGTACAGCCACGCGTCGCGGCAAAATTGCAGTCGGGCAAGATGGCGTTGGTCAGTCACCCCCAAAGTTTCTTTCTTTGCAGGTGAGGGGGTACTGGTAAACGAAGCGGATATAAAATAATACAAAAAATACCCCCTTGGGGTTTGTTTTCTCTGAGAAACCTGTCAATAAACCCCAGATTCATGCTTCATTTAGATTCAAGGTTCAATGTACAGATGCAAGCTACCCATGTTAGTAATATATATGACAGGGATGATGATTAGTAACATTTATTTCAATGATGCCATTCAATACAATATATGTACGATGATCATGTATAAATTAGAAAATGTCAGTAGTTATAGCTATATGTACACAGTAATTAATAATAAAGTGTGAAATTAAATGACAACATTTAGGTATTTCAGGTAAATTTTAGCAGAAAGCTTTTGTGTCCTTACCTACATGTATGGACAAAGATACAACCAAAGTACTAATAAGGGACAAACAAAACACTACGTGAGACAATGAGACAGGACAAGTTTGAGACAAAGCCTAAATTATTAATGCACAAATAACATTTCAATATATGATTCAAGAAAATGAGTTTTTAAACTTTTGAAAAAGACCGAGAGCGAGATCAGGGGTAGTAGCGCAAATCGGATGACAGTCAACTCGACCGTTTGCCAACTCGACTCGAACCAACTGGACCATCGTACCAATTAGACCATTAAACCTTTTCGGGATGATTTTATTTATTTTGTTGAGTCATTCCATTTCAAAGGAAACCACTATAAAGGTTGCTACAAAAAAAAAGCAGAAAAAAGGCCGGACTCCTTATATCTAGTCATTTCGTGAACATCATACCACAAAACATTTGGCAGTTCAGGGTTCTCTGCCATGGACAGTGGGGGCATACACATTTAAAGTGACGGTACACCCTAGTATTTTGTGCAAAATAAGTAACAAATCAGCGACACCAGCCTGCAGACAATGTAGTATGATAGGCTATAAATACGTTTAAAGGTATAGTCCATCATTTGCAGCCATCCGAAAAGTAACTGGCGTAATTATTGTTGAAAAACAAACTTGGTTGAAAGATAGTAAGGGGACTAAACTCCCTGTGAAATTATTCTTTCTGGCAAGCTGTCATTTTGAAGTAATCAACGAAAGAAGGCATTTCCAACGGTGATTCTTAAGAAGCACCGTAGGAAAATTAAAATTAGTAGTTCGTTTTGTTATTTAGCGCAGCGCGCACAAGTATTGGAACGAAGCACACGCGCGCGCGGTTGTTATAATTCATCGGATCAGTGCGCGACGTCGCGTATAGCTGCAATTCAAAACAATTCAAAACATGATTCAGTAACTTTGGATTTGAAATTGAGATCTTAGAATGCTGTTTTTCTCGGAATGTACAGCTGAAGCTTAGCTGAAACTTCATCAGGTTAGTTGCTCAGTATCCTTCATTAGATTTTGAACTCTTTTGTTGCTTCAAACGAACAAAATGCACGAATTACAAATGATGGACTGTAGCTTTAAGTGGCAACAAGTAATTTACAATGACGGTAATTGCACAGGGCTAACCGGGAAGGGGGCCAGGTCGGGAAGCTCTGGGCTTGGAGACTGGTGGTCTACCGAGCGCGCCATGCACACTACTGGCTCTGCAGGGCCCAACGCCCGAGCGGCCTCACGTGCAGTGCAGTCCATGCACTGTATCCTGGTTGAAGCCGTTGGGGTTTACCGTTATACAGTACTGCCTAGCTAGCTAGCACGCCACTGGCGCCAGGCCACACAGTACCCGGTACGCTCACCGCCCGGCCCCGGTCATGCCGGTACCTGCTGCCGCGGCTGCATGCAGACCTACGTGTCTGGTGGTAAACTAATCAAAATACTGTTTTTCATGACATTTTACATACATAATGTTTTGTACTACAGTCAGCAAGTTGGCAAGGGGACAAATTGGCAGTTGCCTAGTTGCCTAGGTGCCGAAGTGACCAACATTCGATTCAACATGCACCGCCATATTTTTTTCACTCGTCCTTGTTGGTCGGACAAAAGCAATGTTTATTTTGTTATTAGGCTGTGCCTATAGCCATTGTCATAATAAAATCTATGTTCCGAACCATGTTCCCTTGTTATACATGTTCACACACAATGACACAACAAAAGACGAGTTGAACAATGGACAAGTTGTGTCAACGGTCGAGTTGACTTTTCCAGTTGACACACAATGGTCAAAATGGTTCAACAGTCGAGTTGGTAAACGGTCGAGTTCGTCCGATTCGAGTTGGCAAACGGTCAAATTGATCTGACACCTGCAAATCTGCACTGAACCGATTTGTAACAGGAAGAAAGGGAAAGATTTCCATATAAGAAGTTCACTAATTTCCCTCTGTATTGACCAACAAGCCCCCAGATAGCAATTTCATGTCATCAAAGTCAATTTGAGCAGTGAGAAAATACAAGCATTTTCTTAGAAAACACTTAGTATTTTTCAGTCCAATCTCATAATTATGGTTTGTACACAGGGTGATGAGTGAACTTCGTATATGGAAATCTTTCCGAAGAAAGTATCCAGACGCCACTTCTTTGTTTGTGCACAAAGTCTATGGAGAGTCAAGTACATTTTCAAAGTAGTTTCTAACAAAGTTGGAAATATTTCAATTTCAGTCTCATTTTGAGTCTTTTCAACATTTTTGCAATGACTGACCTTCATTGTTTGAAAAAAGGGAAAGATTCCCATATCTTGCCATCATTTTTCCCCCTTATATTCCTATCATAGCAATCAACATGTGATAAAAAAAATTCAAATTAAGCAGGAAAAATAGGCCTAATTAAGTATTTACTGAGAAAACACTTAGAAATTTTCATACCAGTCTCATGTGGTTTGTACACAGGGTGACAAGTGATGGCTAGATAATGGGAATCTTTGAAAAAGTGATGTCGGGATGCAACATATCGTGTGCCTTCTAATTCTAGAGTAGAACTTGAACATTCTTTCTGTTTCTCTTCACTCTTTCAACAATAGTCAGGTGATAGTGTTTATGTGTTCAAATTAGTATTACTATTACCGGTAAGGCCAAAAAAAAAATTAAGTCGGTCTCTGGTCAGCGCGCGCGTCGATTTTAATTATGCACGTCAATCTTTTTTTTTCCCCAAAATGTTCCGCGGTAGCTCCAACAGCGCCCTCTATTTCCGCACCTCCTCAATTTTTTTTACCAAAGAGCACCAAGGAATGGGAAATTGCACCAAGGCAAATGATCACAAGCACCAAGGCAAATTATGGAGCACACCAATGTACATGAGGACACCAAAAAAGCAAAATAGTACCCACCTTGTCTGTACAATCCAAGCTTGAAGAAAGAAAAAAAAGCTGCGTGGCCGCGTCAATTCAGGAACTTTGGTCTGACCAGAGACCGAATATTTTTTTTTGTTGGCCTAACATAAAATACACAACTTGGTCAAACAAACGATGTATTGAGAAAATCAAAATATTTACCTCCACCGCTTTTGAAACACAGGTAGGGGAACCGCCACACGTTACCCAGGCCCACAGCGTAGCCGATGCAGGCAAGAACAAACTCCGCCTTGCGGTCCCACCGATCACGGCCGGCCGCGCCCGTTGGCTTCTCCACGTCCGTGACGGCCCGGCCGTTGGTCTTAGCATGGCCATCATCGTCCACGTCCAGCGCGGTAAACTTGACATCGCTGTGGGTCATGGTGGTAGTAGGGAAATGGAGGAATAACAGTGAATAAGTCTGAAGTTGGTTATCTTAAATGAAGAGGATTTGGAAGAAACGGGGTCACCGGTCGTCTAAACGAACCGGTTGTACGCGGGCAATTACGCTCAGTCACTCAGCACTGGTACTGTGGTAGTACGGTGTCAATACCGCGCGTGCACGAAAGTCAACTGTGTCAGTACAGCTGTAACAGTGAACATTTGGAAGAACTCGTGAACAATGTCGATCACCATATACCGGTAGCCTGATCAGAGAATGGAATGCATTCAAAGCGTTCAGTGAAGTGGACAACTGAAAGCTTGCTGGCAATACACAAGATTAACAATGCACTGTTAACAGCACACGACCAGTTGGAATTGCTCACACATCATATAAAAATGAAGGCACGAGTCGATGCATATCGCGTACCGTTATGCTTTCAGTTTCAGTTAGTTCAATATTAATGCATCGATGGCTCACTCTGCTGCCCTCACCCGTACACGATGAATTATAAATTACGCACGTCGCACTCAGCTAGCTCGGTTCAGTTTTAGGGTTTTAAACCCCGGCTTCTTCACATGTACATTGTACGGTGCATCCCGGACCCAGGACTTTTTACGACTGAGGCTCATCATGGCCTCATTTTTGCTTCAAACTATGAAGTCCTGTAAATATGATGCCTACATTCGGAGAATTTCTATTTTGCATACAAAGTAAGATTTGAGGCTTTGCATGGTGGAGACACTAAATAATGAAAGGTTTGTGGAAACACCATGTGCGAATAATTTCTCAACTAAGAGAATGATTCTGAAAAGAACCAGAGGTATAAACTCAGAGTTTATACCTCTGGTTCTTTTCAGAACCATTCTCTTAATTGAGAAATTATTCGCACATGGTGTTTCCGCAAACCTTTCATTATTTGCATACAAAGGTTTTCGAAATAATAGTTTCAGACGAACTCAACTTGGGGTATTGTAGTAAGTTAAGTTTCTTGATTATTAAAGGGAATATACATCATTTGCTTTTGCTGTAATTTTCAGAAATGGATGGATTTGGGGGGTTGGAAATATATAGCAAATATATTTACTCTGACTTTTTTGAGGTTTTGGGTTCGAAAATGCTATAAAAACCAAGAAAAACAATCATATTCCTGTAGTCTGGTTCCCTGACTCCATTTAAGAAGAAACAGAGCAGTTTACATATATTGGGGAATTGTAATGTCAGGGAACCAGTCTAGCTGGCTTGTACCCGTTCATAGGTGTGTAATCGATTGCAAACAAGTGCGATGGTCAACTGGGACCAGTATTTGAAAAATATCCAGTTTTTTTCCAACGCTGATCGGCCGATCAGCGTTGGAAATTGATACAAAAAAACCACTTTTCTTGAAAATGACAATATACCAGGTGCCATGATTTTACAGGATGCTTTACACTGTCATTCACTAACAGTCCAGCAGGGTATTTCAAAATGATTTGGTAGTTTTATTTTTTGATGTTTGCAAATGTTGTATTTTCCCTTTAATATTGCGCATCATACTCAGTTCATGTACCATAGAGCTATATTATTCACAAGGAAGCCATTTTTGTCGTGTTCCTTGAATGTATTTTATATATTGTGAACTGTTGAATGGGATGGTGCCAGACTATTTATGCATGCATTCTAGCCTCACTTTCAATTTTTTTTTTAAATGTGGGTTAAAACATTTAATCACATATGTTATATTATTCATTAGAGCAGACTGGTATTAATTTGTAATTAACTTTATTTCTTTACTTTCATTTCTCTTCGCAAGTTCCAAAAAGAAGATTTTACCTCGCTTTCAATATGGCCGACTCGTAAATTAAGCCCATTGCCGCGCGGACTGGCGTACCGCGAGCGGGACTGCAGCCTGCTGCACCGAAGATAAGGCCCGTGAGCTTGATGGCTCTACTTGCCTAGAAGATAATTTAGTGCACTTTGATAGGGTAGCAAAAATCAACTGGGATGAAGTCAGATATAACCGATTGCCTGCTCGCAGCTCTGACAGGACGGCATTGGATGTAGCCTGCTCTCCTTATAAGGAGTTGTAGTCCGACTACACATAACTTTTGAAGGTGCTGGAACGATGCTTTGGGTCGGAACGACGGTGCGACTCCGAATCGAACTGTCTACTAGAAAGAGGCGAACTGGCAAGACTGTTGCAAAGCTTGGGCAGGCAATTATAGAAGCTTGTCAAGCGAGCATACCCATGCAGAGAGCGGACTGGCGTTCCAAGAAGAATTTGACATTTGACAAAATTCAAGAACACTCTAGATAACGACCTGCTCGATGTTGAAGCAGAGGTGTGGAGAGACGTCGCTGAATGTTAGCTGCAGGTAGGACGCTCAAGGGCAGTTAAACTGTGGGAGCTAGGTGAACAGCAGGATGCTCAAGCCCGTACTGAGACAGCTGAGATTGTGAGAATGCTTCAGGAAGTTGACAACTCTGGACAAGCAGAGGAAGACCAACGTACACCAAAGACTAGCCTTGACCAAGGCTACCAGCTTGTTCCCATATGAGCTTGTTCCCGCTATACCGCACACCGCGCGCGCAGCGGCACAATGTTGTACTATACCGTTAGCCCCAACGACCCATGCGTGTGTATTGTGTGCATGTACTTACGCCCCACACACACTTCCGCAAACAGCCGTCCAGTAAGTCGAGGCGGAAGATAGCCTTGACGCAACCGTGTCTGCCGAATATGATAATTAGTACGCGCTATGGTAAATAGTCTTCTCTCATTGGATAACGGCTGACAAAAAAATGAATATTTATTGCATTGTATAATACGACCAAAGGTTTATAAACCAGACGGAGCTGTGGAAACAATAATTATTGTAAAACACCCCCTTAAAATCTTAAATAATAGTAGAATAATATTTATAAAGTTACACATAGTTTGGATCGAAAATGAAATGAAAAGGATGAAAAATTAGACCTTCAAAAAAATGGCAAACGGTACAAAACCGCACGCCGTCCAAAACGATGTCACCATGCACAGAGGCCACGTTGGGGCCGTCCACTGTAGGCACCGGCCCGGCTGGCGCCATGCAGTAAGACACGCTGCGCTTTCACGTTCAGCGGCAAAAAAAGCGCTCACACTATTGAGTATATCTACCGCTGACTTTTTTTTGGGGGGGGGGGGGTATTTCTTCTAAGCTGTCAAGGGGATATGGGAAAAAAATAGCTCTCCTTCAGCAAACTTATTCTGTAAGACTGATTTTAACTTGTATGAACAACTTATAAGTTATATGTCATATGTACGACTAATATATCGACAGGGTACGACATATTTCGACAGGGTACGACTAATATCATCGACAGGGTACGACATATATGTCGACAGAGTATGACATATCAAACATATGACATAATGTCGACAGGTGCCGGTACGACATATATGTCGTGCATAAGTCGAGTCGACAGGGTACGATATATGTCGCATACGACAAAGTCGTATATAAGTACGACTTAATATCTCGTGTGTACAAAATATGAATTGTAACTCGTATCATGGAGCTATGCTCGTATGTTTGACTTGTTTGTCGATTATGTCGTACATACAACATATCTTGTGAGAACGACTTGTATCTCGTGCGATTTACATCTACGACTTACATGTCGTACGTATGTCGTAGGTACGACATATACGATTCATACGTACGCGTTAAAATACATGTGTCGTACGTATGAGATGTAATTTGCACATGGTACGAATTCAGGGAGAGTTTTTTTTTCACCATGTACCTGACAGTTTCGTATATTTCCATCCCAAAGTCAATAGCTCGTTTCTTGCAGTTAATTCATACGGGTGCTTATAGATACGAGTTAACCTGCATTCGATTAAATGGGTATGATTTGACCTGGGTCGGTTGACCTGTTCCCTACATTCGCTGTCAGAATAGCACGGGCAGGTAGCGGCGTGATAATGTACGCTGTTGCACCGACAAAACGTCGGCGGACTGTCTTGAACTGTCCAATTCGCAATACATTGGAAATAGTATCATTTTGAACAATTGTTCACTCATATAGCGGCATGTTTCATTTGTTTGTAATAAAACTGGAGAAATGGTTTAAAATGGGATTGAAATACCTGGACATACCATGGTTTGAGTGAACATACATGTACGTGGTGTATACTATAATTTGCGGTCATGAATATGTATGTCGCGGGTCAAAGTTTACGGGCTTTGATTGGATATCGTGTAATATATGCGCATCAGAAATTTTCGGCCGATTTCGGTCGAAACTATAAAGAAACACATAAGGAATTCGCCACGGTTGCGTCAAGGCTATCTTGCGCTTCGACTTATTGTACGGCTGTTTGCGGAAGTGTGTGTGGGACGTACGTACATGCACACAAAGCACACGCAAGGGTCGTTGAGGCTAACGGTATAGTACAACTAGTGATTGTGTCGCGGGGCGCGCGGTGTGCGGTAGCGGGAACAGGCTCGTATGGGAACAAGCTGATAGCCTTGGTCAAGGCTAACCAAAGACTGGAAACCGGGATGTTTGGTTTGCGGGAGCCTCGACCACTTTCGGGCAGACCGTACACATGCTATGTATAGAAGACAATTTGAATTCGCTTGTGGGATCCCGATTCTTCGATCACAACGTTAGATCTAGCCTCCGGCTTTAGTGGCAAATGAAAGTAGGCGTGCGTGCATGTAGTTCGGAGTTAGAGTTTGTTCAGAAAAGTTGAGAAGAAAGTTGTGAACAGTAGAATAAAGTTGTTGTTCTACTAGCAATGGTTTTGAAGTCTGATTGGTTTCGCTTTTGGCCCAAAAATTAGAGAAGAATCCGAGAAGGACCGCGTTACAGTACCGACGTCGGTATAGAAATGAGAATGGGTAAAGGGTTCTCGGGAGGGGGCTGTTTCAACGCATAAGGCGAGGGGGGGGGGGGACTTTTGGCGGCTTAATATAAGGGCTGGCGGCCCCCGCCCCCAAATCCGTCAGTGGTCTCAATCGACGTGTCTAAGTAGACGAGCGATTGAATTCAAACGTCAGTCCTGGGCGAACTTAAAACCGTAGAAAGCGTGCTTCGAAGTGGTTGGTTCCCCAAAGGTGCAGTTAAATAAATAGGCCCAAAATTAACTTGCCTTCGCCGGCCAAATCACGATTTGTATGCCCTCACTTTTTTGTCTGATATCAGAACATTTTGTTGGCAATGAACTTAATTAAGGCATTGCAAAAATATTAATAATAATAATAGAAGGGTAGAAGCCGTGAACAGGGCTGCGAGCTACTGCAAGTTCTGCGAAATCCGGAAAATGGGCCCCTTAATTTGCGCTCATTTTGCAATTGGAGCTATGATCCGTGGTAGGTCTAACTTTACCTGATATGTGTGAAAAAAAAAATTGCGTATGGAGACTCAGTACGGGATCAGATTTCGTGTTACTGTAATGCGTCGTGGCGAAAAGCTGCCCAAAAGATCCTTCGGATAGAATGTGACAAAATGCTTCTACAATAAAATGAACGCTTAACATGCGCAACAAAACAACTATAGGTATTTTGGTATATCTTTTTTTGTTAGCTCTGCAAAACTTTGTTTAAATTAGGAAATTTGTCAGCTTGGCAGCCAAAATAGCTCCAGCCAGACCAAAATACGATGACGACTGGCACTTCAAAAACACAACCACTTATGCAAGTAACATGCTGTGGGTTTGTATTCCGAATTCCCGTCACATTTTGCCAAGTCATTGGATATCGAGATAACGTATCGCTAAAATCAGGCGACTTGGTTCAAAAGATCACGGGCTAATAGGGCCGAGTTGCACGCACGCAGTAGGTGTCCGTTGCATGACGACTAGCCTATTCATTGCATGTTGTATAAGCAAACAAAAAAAAGTGCGACTGCATGATAAGCTCTGGCTGTCTTGCATACAATTACTCACTTGGTCGTGATTGTCAATTGAAATAAGAATTTCCCATTTTGTTGAAAGTCACAATGCAAAATAATAGTGACCTTCATAATGCGACTGTATCCTCACTTCTATTCACTGAGTCTCCTAAAATGACACAAGGCCAGAGGCAGGGGTGATGTATAAGTGACAGGTGTATGGAAGCCCCTTGACTTCCCAAGTTCGTAGCGCACAAAAGAAAACCACGTGACTACCACATTGCCATACATTTTCTTGCCTCTATTCAAAAAAATGTCAAAACAATGTCACGAATTGTTACAAACAAGTTTTGTCAAATATTTAATGTATTTAGTTTGCTTTTTTTGTGACAGTTACAATTTGGTACTTATGGGTGAGTTAGGCCCAAAAAAAAAGTCTCCGGTTTCTGGTATGCGCGCGCGTCGCTGTAGCCATGCGCGTCGGCAAAATGAAAAAGTTTTTTTTTCAATGAAAGATGATGTCTCAAAACCGCCAAACTCACTGGTTTGACTGGAATCCTGCTGCAGCTGCACAATTTTAACATGTTTTTAGATGGAGTTATGGTCGAGAATAAGCTTTATGTGGCCTCTCTGGACTCCCAATCCCATATAGGCCTATTAATTTGTACTAAGTTTAGTCGGGCACCATTTGCAGTCATCACACGGCATTTGAAGCAAAAAAGTCGGGTAAAAAAAAAAAAAAAAAGCCGCGTCGCCGCACCACTTTTTGGGCAAGCTCCATACCAGAAACCGGAGACTTTTTTTTGTTGGCCTTAGGGGCTCGTTTTTGGTTATCTTTTTTTTGGTGGGGGTGGGGGGGGGGGGGACCGACCGACCGACTAACCGACCCGAGTGACTTGTAGAAGCTCTAGTTGCCAGAGCTTAAAAAATCCCATGGTGTCATGGAACGCCGACCGCATGCATCCGTGATCTTCTTGTAGGCTTTGCAGCAGATTGTATTTCGGTACGGATCCAAGGTACCATATTTACATTCCATTGTTAAATTAAATGAAAGTGCTTTTCCCTGGAGTTATCTGCAACCAAAGACATACTAGTTACTTGAAGTATTAAATATACCCAGTTTAAAACGATTCCACAAAGTTACATTGCCAAATTTCGAATCGTTGCTTATACACATTCAACCAAAAAAAGAAAGTTCCCCTTCCAATATTTTTTTGTCTTACTCAAAAACTACTGAGCACCTCTCGCTCAAATAACAACTAATCAGTACAGAAATTCCTTAGCAATCCAACCATACTCTTTGTTTGGCCCAATACAATGATAATGTGTACGAATGTATGCAATGTATGACAATGGTACCGAAAACAGTTGCACTTTTGTATACGTGCATGTTGCGGTTTACACCCACTTTGCAGGTAGGCCTATACAAAAGTGCAAAAAAATGGGGGGGGGGGGTACCATGTCATAAATTGCATAATTGTGTGCACATTATCACTGTTTTGGGCCAAACAAAGAGTATGGCTGGATTGCTAAGGAATTTCTGTACTGATCAGTCGTAATTTGAGCAAGAGGTGCCCAGTAGTTTTTGAGTTATACAAAGAAATATTAAGGGGGAACTTTCTTTTTTGGTTGAGTGTAGTTGGGGCATTGGTGCCTGCATTCCCAGCGATCTCGTTAGTCCCCAAAAGTAAGTTTTAGAAACCTATACCGAATTATTATATTCAAGCTTAGGCCCACTTGGATTTAACGTACTTGTTGTAAACACACCGTGAAATTGTTGTCATTAACAAGAAATCAAGAAAATGTAGGCCTAGGTGATTTCCAACAATTGGTCCATAATGACTTATCCGCGTTCACGAAATTGCATTTCGTTTTCTCGAAAAGTGTAATATCCACTGAGCTGAAACTTCAACAGGTTAGGTTGTGAACGTACTTCTTTGGATTTTGAGTGGTGTTATTATTGTAAACGAATACAATAAATGAAAATTAAATCCTATATGTATATATGCCTTTAACCCTCTTTTGAAAATCCTGAACTTTAGGGCCTTTAATAATGTAACACCTCGGCGACCCCCCCCCCCTTTAAAATCCTTGATCCACCACTATAGGTCGTCCAAACAGATTCTATAGCTCCATGATTGGCAAACACCTTCTTTGTCTTTTAATTCTTCGTCTTGCTGTGTATTTTGTTTGATAGCCCAAGTGCATGAGATTTTGCTGATCGGGTTACCTCCGTAATGGGCCAAATCTGGTCCCGTGTGTACACCTTTATGCATGAATTTTAACGATTTCCCAGTTCCAGTGAAGAGCAATTCCGAAACAATAATTCATAGGCCTATTGGACAATATTTTTTTACGCTCAGGACCAGCTTTACTCTAGGCTTGCCTGGTCTTGTTTGTTAACTTTTCTTGTGTGTTAATCGATCTATAGCTAGACTTGACGTCTAAAGATGACTGGATCATTGGATGTGATGTTCTCATACTGCCTGACATATGCACTCAAGTCTCAAGTTCACAAACAGATAGGCTTGCAACTTACCCATTGCTCTCCTGAGCTTTTCCCTTGTCTTCACCACCGTCGCAGCGGTATCCTTCGTTGCTGGTTCCAAGTTGTTGCATCGAATCATCCATAATTTCCGAGGCGGCCTCGGCATCCTTTTCCTGCGGTGCCATGTTGAATTGAAATAATATCTTGTCACCTTGTGTCAGACTGTCAGACTCTCAGCTGCATCTACAGGAACAATGGAACTATGGAGCTTAACCGACACCGATCCAGGTTTTCTTCAGTCCAAATACAAACTTTGACCCTGATCTGTTGATTTTACAGGCTATGAAAGTTAAAGGGGCAATTCGATTGGATCAGTTATATCAAATATCTACGCTTTTGTAAACAACGGTTTTCTTACTGTAACTTTAGAAAGGGCGCCCCTGGAGCTTTCACAACGGATCGCACTAATTCTAACGAGGATCATGGATGATCTGTTCTTATATTCCTCCATGGTAAGATCGAGTTTGGTTTTATACTTAAACTTTAATACAAACTATGCCACTACAATCGGTGTTTTGTTTGAATTAAGCCTACTTTACATTTTGCGGACTTTTGCTGAATCTTAAAGCAAACATTTGACCACATAAAAAATGAAAGTGCACGCCTAAGGTGACATCCCACCCTTGTGTCATGAAATAGCATGGCGCTTTAAAATTATCTCACCTCTATTTTAGGGGCATCTGCTGGATTTTGATAAAAATGTAGGATAGTTTGAGTGTCAAATTCAATTTGAATGTCCCTTTAATTAAGGTTTACATAAAGCAGACTTTGAATTCGGGCCGGTGATGTAAGATATACGCTCGCATTGTTGTAGTCCAGGTGTCATTTTATGGAAGACAAAATTACCCTACTTCCATGGATAAAATCATTTACATAAGGCCAAAAAAAAAAGTCTCCGGTTTCTGGTATGCGCGCGCGTCGCCGTAGCCATGCCCGTCGGCAAAATGAAAAAGTTTTTTTTACAATGAAAGATGATGTCTCAAAACCGCCAAACTCACTGGTTTGACTGGAATCCTGCTGCTGCACAATAATGTTTTTAGATTGGGTTATGGTCGAGAATAAGCTTTATGTGGCCTCTCTGGACTCCCATATATTTGCACTAAGTTTAGTCGGGCACCATTTGCAGTCATCAGCCGACATTTGAAGCAAAAAAATCAGGTAAAAAAAAAGCCGCGTCGCCGCACCACTTTTTGGGCAAGCTCCATACCAGAAACCGGAGACTTTTTTGGGGGGCCTAACCACGATAACCTATATAATTACCTTAAACCCAAATAGTTAAAGAAGTAATCCGTGCTGTCCTGAAAAAATTTCAGGAAACCTAAACCACAACTGGTAGGTATCTTGTGCCCCGAGTATTTTATCTCGTGTTCCGCAGTTTGAAACTAAGTTACATTGAGTTAAACTTGCCACTAAAACGGTTACACCTCGTACAGGGAGGGTTTAGCACTAAATCAGAACTTAAAAAAAACCTTCTATATCACGGTACATATTTAGTGGACAAAAAGTTCGGTTGTGGCAACCTCAACCACCCAGATGATCTGACGTCACTTTAAGGTAACACCTGGTTGCCCCTTCACATGTTTACGAGGCGTTGCGTGCCGCCAGTACCTGAAGTCCTGGGTCTTCGTAGTCCTGGGTCTTCACAAACTTCAAGGAAAAACAGAGTCGTCCAAAGATTTTCTCGATAAAAACTGCTTTGGGTCTGCTGTGTGTAAACACAGCCACATTGTGAAAATCGAGGTTATCTGACGTGCGTGCACCACTAGGCCAGTCAAAGTCATAAAGTATATAAACAAATTGCCATTTTTATCTTTCGAACTTCAAGTCAACATACTTTACCACCCGTACAGTTCCTTGGTTTGTCACTTCTGTCAACGTAATAACCCAATGAGGTCAAGGATTACACACAGAATTGTCCAGCTTGATCGATGTTTATAGGGCCCGGGTGGGGTAGTTTGTGGTTGTGCATAAGCTTACCTTAAACAACGAATCAAAACACACTCGCCAAAAAATTAGTGAACATCATGCTTGTGTTTTTTTTTTCAGGTTTCAAGAAAATTTATTCAATAGAGGCAGCAAAACAAAGTATATTTTAAACACAAAAAGGGCAATTATTCAAAGAGATGTTTCGGCAAGTGTTGGGCAACTTCGATGCTTCTTCCTATCGATGTATTTTATAATACTGGTGATTTTTTCCAAAACAAATAAATTATAGATAAAGCAATCTCACCTGAAAATCATTAAACGAATGTAAATTTTAATAAAAAATGTATGCCACAGTTTATGATTGATACTTAATTAGGCAAGTGATTTCTTTTTGGGCAACAAGTTTACCCACTACACCTAACATAAAAAAACTGAATGCATTATGTGCATTAGCAAAAACAAAAATTAGAATTGACTAAACTGTGATGAACTTTGTATATGCCATAAAAGTTTAACTTTTTAAAAAAAAATATCGGGGGGGGGGGTTCAGGTTGGCGTAGCGGTACTTTCCTCGCCTTCCATCGCTGTGACCCGGGTTCGAATCCCGCCTGGGTCAATATGTGGATTGGGTTTTCAGTCCCTACCTGATTCCATGGGTTTTCCTCATAATACTCTTCTGGGCTTTTCCTCCCACCTCTAAAACTGTAATTTCTTCACATTGTCTTCTCTTTACTGGGACCCATGGGAGATCAGTGGATTCCACTGAATGGGCTACCCAGTTAAAATAAGAAATAAATAAATAAATAAATCTCAGCTGGAAAAGTTTCGGGCATTTATAAAAAAATCTTGTGCATTGCACCAACTGCTCCTTTTACCCAAACAAAACTGTGAATAAATTATGCATAAATTCTATGACATTTCAGATATGCTGAAAGTGAAGAACCCGAGAAAAAAAACCCCAAAACAAAACACATGATCCACTTCCACTGGTTTTTACAGCCCAAAGCACCAAATCAAACAAATTGAATACTTGGCTTTAATTTACTTTCCGGGCACTTTTAGAGGTTGTTAGAATATCTATACTTACTTATCACAAGTTTTTATAACGTCGACTCAAACCTCTTTTTTTTTTACATGTACAACAATAACCCTTTTTCACTGTGTTACCCAATGAAACATATAAGACCACCTATAATGTACTACGGGCAGTAATGTTGAAGTTTGGGCTGAAGTAGTGTTTGCATGCTCAGTATGCTGACTGAAATGGGTCTCATAAACTCCAGGGATTTATAGCTGAAAATTTGTTAATGTATAAATAGAGCAATATATTGATATTACCCGATTGTTTATCTCGTGCATAAAAACTGCTTCAGAAGTTTGTCACATCATCATCGACTATAATTTTCATTTTGACTTTTGGATCCCCTAAGTAACCTTTATATTACCCCTTCCACTTTTGTACATGTTCATTATAACTCGAGTTGTGCCCAGGATTCGTAAAACACTGAATTTATGAAATTTTGGGCAATAGTTTTAAAATTAAAGACAACGTTGTGATACAGCAAATGCTACTCTAAGGTTAACAAATTTGGAAATCATCCAGCCCTATAAGTGCCATCACTCTATCCGGCTTTCTCCTGAAGACGATCAGAGCAAACTGATCGGAACGTCGAGTTTCACAAATTTCAGAGCCACACATCTTCTGGTGTTCATACCGCAAATCCTCACTATTAAAATATGGAAATTAAAATATCGGCCCAATTCTACAGAGCTAAGCTGAAAAAATTACTTAGCGAATACATGCACAAAGCAAACACAGTGTTGAAAACCAGTCAGACGCAATACACAATGCATGTCATTTTGGCTGGTGACCATTTTTTACTAATTAAGCTTTTGTCTTTACCAAGGTTTAGTGCTTATCACCTGCATAAAATTGGGCCATGAACAGCACATTATGAACTTCTATACACTCAAAAAGGTTGAGCAAATAAGTTGGTATGTAGACCAGTGTTGGTCGACACATGCCTACACTCTTGGGCAATTTTTTCCCCAATAGTTGGTACATTTCTACCCGAATAAACCAACAATAAGAAAAAAATAATACCAATGTCGAGCAATTTCATACCAATTTCGGGTAAATAACATTGCCTAAAATGTGTTTTTGAACCGTTTTTTTTTTACAGTGTATAAAATTAGGTCTTGTACCTGGATAAAATTGCGTCGAACTTGGTAGTACCAACCTATATATTGTTTACACTTGCAAGAATGACAAGTAGGCCTAAATAAAACTGAGATCAAGTCAGATAACACATAAAACGAACGACACTCCCTAGTTTTAATGACAATTGTTATCATTTCTTTTACCTGACTTTCCAGGGTGCATTGAATGGGGATGTTGCGCAATAACTCACGCGCCAATGTGCCAGTGGATTCAATTCAAGTCAATTCAGTTTTCAGTTTTCCGTCTTAATTCTTGCTAGTACTTTGAGTATAACATGTATAACAAAACAAAAACGAAAACAAGAGGGCGGGGATAGTCAACACATGGCTGGGAAGCTCAGCTGGTAGAGCAACAGTATTGTACGCTTGCCGTTGCAACTTCGATTCCTGCTTAATTCAGTCAATTCACTCAGTTCTTTAAAATGGATTAGAAAGTAATCCCAAACAAAAGAAGGTGGTCACTTGCAATTATGGCTAAAGGATATTTGAGCAGCCAAATCTAATTGATTGAAAACACCCCCCCCCCCCCAAATTTTTTTACCCCTTGATCATAATGCAGCAAGGCTGTACTCAAAAACTGGAAGTCCACATTGTGTATAAAGTATACTGCATACATGGTTTACAAATTAAAAGCTGCATTTGGGGATGGTACGGTGCACTCTGATTACGGAGACCCCTGAATACCACAAAAGTGTTTCAAATTTACACAAAAGGCTTCATCTTATCACTGTGCAAATTTTCTCAACATTACAAACGCAAATGCATGCTACAGCATCCCTTGGTAACTGCACATACGGCCAGGCATATAGGGCGAAGCTCATCTACAAATACAGAAAATGCTATTCAATTTTAGAAGTTTTGTAATTTGGGAAAGTTCATATCACAAAGCAATGTTCTGAAGTTTCTCAATCATAATTCAGAACCCTGGTTTGAAAAACATTTTCTGACAATTTCCTTAACAAACAGACCTTTTTTAATAAATCATATCATCTCAGTTACAGAAACTGTATTCAATTTCAGAAGATCATTATTTTAGGAAATTTCTAATTTCCAGAAGTCCGAATTTCTTCAGTTATGATTAACAAACTGCTGACATTAGTTTGAAAATTCGATCTGACAATAACGTTTACAAATTAAAATCCATTCTACTATTAAATTCATTTTGTTAAGTAACAAGTAAAACCAACAAAAAAAGAGAATACAACTGCAGAACCTCGCTATAAAAGAGCTTCCTTTCAACTTTCTAAAAGCGAATAACTCTACAAGACTGCCTTTTAAACCATTCCACTGTTCAGCAGCAATGAATTTTTTTTTCGAACAGAGTGACCACAACTTGTCACTATTCTGAACACATTTTGTGATTCGTGGTGGTAACCAGCCACATCAGCATTTCTATACTGCATATATACAAGGGTAAGTTTCAATACCAAACACTCATCACATTTCAAGGTTCATAAATATTACACTGTTATCTACAACTCGTTTGCTTAGAAAATCTGCAAAGTCACAATGGACACCAAATCTTCTGTAACCACAATGGTTCAAGTAATTATATAATTATCACAAATACAAACATTTTCTCTGTTTGCTTGATGTACAACACATGTATTTATATATATGTATATAAGCCTCACAAATTTATCTAGACCCCATCCCAAAATTAATCCCTTAATATATGTAACTATAATCCGACATTGCACATACAAAATATTGCAATGTCACCCTTTAGTTAAGTATCTAAATATATGTCTGATCGACCACAGAATATATCATTCAGCAAGGTGGATGAAATGGCCACTTCGAGGCTACTGGAGGGTTCAGGCTCATCATTGTTTTGCAGTGTACCCATTTTAGGGGAGCAGTATTGTATCTTGTGATTGAAATGTAACTTGCCCTACCAAAGAAAGTTTTTTTTAGTATGTCCTTTGAGTGCCAGACAGGTTTATGTGCTTAAGTTAGTCATAACAAATATTAATTGCATGGCACTCTGACTACCAGCTGTTTCTGCTGAGGAAAATATTAAAAATATTACATCGTATTAAAACCCTAACCCCCTGGTACGTCCTCAGGACTACCCTGCTAAATCCAACAGAGTCCAACTGGAGTTTCCTGCTCAATCCACTGTGCCTTATTTTCAGTTGTCTGCTGAATCCAATATTTTGCATCAGGAATGTACACAAGGGGTTTACTGCTCAATCCAACAGGCTCCATCGGGTATCTGACATAGTTGGATCCTGTTGGATTCAGCAGGGTTAGGGTTTTAACCAAATAATCCTTTGAATATGAACTAATGTTGTTTTTTGTGTGGATAGGCAGTGGGTCTTTTCAATTCAATGAGTACAGTGAATTTCTCACAGCAGTCCATATTTGTATGAAATAACAGGACTGATAAGTTCTGCACGATTTGTTTGGAAACCCATGATTACTTCAATGGAACCTTTGAGTCCATTATCTTTGTTCAATTGACAGAGAGCAAATGTTATCGAAAATGTGAATTTATGTAATGTATGTTTTCATGTCATTGTTTAGTATTCCATATCTGAAATGCATAGTCCTTGTTTGAAGTGCATGTTTGCGGAATGATAAATTTGCATTACCAGGATAACTCTGCACGTTTGAAATTTAAAAGCTGTCTATGTTACAAAAGTCAATTGGTGTTCCCTGCTTCTAGCTTTGTACAATGTGAGGCACAGATGTGGTGTGGTATAAATGTTACAACACAAAGCTGGATATGGCAGTACAGGCAATGAGAAGTCTGGCATTTGGTAATTGGTCAGCTTTAGGCCTGTTCACACTATCAAAAAAGCCCATGTTATACCTGGGTCAAACTCTGATATTTTGGGAACCCCTTTTACACTGCAAGAGCCAACACAGCTTCTACACAAGTCGGACGCTTTACATGGGTAACATTCAGCCCTGGTCTGGACAAGGGTTCAGAGGTGATCTTCCTGGTAGAAAACCACAAATTTTCAACCGACCCGTGTACAATGGTGTGAAAGTGAACCATGTCCAATTTCAAAATGGTAGTGCGAGAGGATAGTGTCAAATGGCCTAATTTAAGGGCACTGTCTCCCAGCATTAGGGGGAGGGGGGACATCATAACATAAATCAGTACAAATGCTTCAAAGCATCTTGCATTACAATCGTCTTAAACATAAAATTGCATACCCACTGAATTGATTGTGCATTCAGAAACTTACTCATAACCCTGTTGTATCCGATATCTTTTGGGACAAAATAGAACAAAATGAGATTGTCACTGTCAGTGTCAATGTTCTGCCTAAATGTGAATTTATCTGATTTCTCTAGATTCTTTCAATTATTGGTGCCCATCTTGAGGTTATTACAGGGTTCCCACAGAAAACTGGACATGAACTTCCTTGACTTTTCTGTGCCTTCCAGGATGAAATAAGAGCTTTCTACGACCAATTTCTGTGCTGCTTTGGCATCTCTGGAGCCAATTGCTCAAGAGGCAAGGGAAGCCACTCCCTTTCAGCCTTCCAGTTTGGCACAACACCACTGAGTACCACAAAATCATATATGGGCAATTCCACGGTTACTCACGTTACATTTTTGATGTACTTTTGAGTTTCCTTGGGCTGTAATTACCTTACTGAAAAGGTTTAATAACTGTTATCCCCATGGTAGGTAGAGTAGACCTAGATCTACCTAAGCACCAAAGATGGCATCCAGAAAAATGTGTTATGTACGATAAACAAGACGCACAAAATCGGTTACTCACGTTACGAAAAATGTAACATGAGTAACCGTGGAATTGCCCATAATGCATAAAGAGGACATACACATAAATTTTTTTTGTAGTCACCTGGAATGCAAACAGCAAGACTGCCATAGCCAAATATTAGTATTACACATCATAACGCATGGGTTACACCGGATTTTCCTTGGAATAGCAACTTTCCAAGACTCATTGTAAATTCCATGTAATTGTAATTGTAAATTCCATTGTAAATTCCATGACTTTTCCATGACTGTGGGAACCCTGCTGTTAACACAATAATCTAGAAACGCACATCCGAGGATAAGTTCCACTCCTACCATACATGCAATGGAGTAAAGCGCACGCAACTAGATTTTCATCTGAACACGCACCACATGTTGCAAGCACTGCTTATTACTGTTGGTTCTTATTTCTGTTGGTTCTTATTTACATGACACAAGATGCATTCCAGGTAACAAAAGAGGTGATACAATGAATTCTATAAAAAAAATTAAAAATTCACCAGCTGGGTCAGCTGCTTACTTATCAACATGCTGTGTAACTGCATATTAATTGATCTTATGCGTAGCAGCCATCTTGGTACATTTTGTTATTTCAATTTAGTAACAATGAATGCACACAGGTTCACTCATGCATATCCCAGCAAACAAAGGCATTGCCCTCTAAGATGGCTGCTACAAATAAGGTCTATACATGTACTGTGGCAGCGCCCTCACAAGGCCAAGTACATGCCAATTCACATATTGTTTTTTTTAAATTTTGCTCAAACTAATACCCTGCGAAACTCAACAAACTTGTTTTTTCATTTGCTCTATTAAAAAAAAAAAATTGTAGGTAACACACGCTCTCACAAGCAGTCTACTTTTATCCATTTTTTTCTTCTAATATGACCTCTTCTCAATTAACTACAAATTTTTAAAACACTCATAGTTATAAGACAGCGATATGTCCGCTCAAGGCAGTGTAGAAAGGCAGTGGTGGACGGTCGCTCATTAAATCTAAAAAACAATTCTGTTTCTATTCTATTTCAGCATAGATCCAGCCTTGTCAAGGGAGCAAGAATGATTTTTGTCATGGTTTAAATATATATACACATCTAGGGCCACTTTCATGAGGCTGCTTACATATGTAGGTAGCACACAAATGTACTAAGCACATAAAATATCTGCAGAGCAAAAACAGGTTACCGATTCAACGCCATTTCATACTCCACTTGAAAGCAAAAGCAAAGCAATTTTCATGACCTCAACAATTGACGTTTTACCTAATGAATTGGCTTTGCTCTGAAATTCGAGTTGGGTATGAACAAGGCTTAAAGGTAGAGTAGATCACCTGAAGCTACCCAGAAAGTAACTGGCGAAATTATTGTTAAATAGCTTACTTGGTTTGAAGAGGGTAACGTCAATGAACTCCCTGTGAAATTATTCTTTCTGGCATGCTTTCATTTTGAAGAAAACAATGAAACTAGAAGGCCATTTCCAAAGATGCGTCACCTGACGCATTTTTGGAAATTTCCGTTCGTAGTTGGTTTGTAACTTTGCAAATCCATGAATGGGTGGCGCAAGCATTGACACGATGCACACGTGTGCGTGGTTGCTATTATTTGTTAGTTCAGTGTTTGATATTGTGCAGCTTCAATCAGCTGAATGAGAACGTGTTTCGGATGCTGATTTCGGATGCTGACAACTTTTGCATTGTTGAGCTAAAACTTCATCAGGTTAAAGTTGTTAAGCAATCGTCTTTAGATTTTGAGCACTTTTGTTGCTTCAAACCAAAAAAAAAAATAACAATGCACAAATGACATATGATGTACCCTACCTTTAACACATTAACCCCAACTCCCCAGCAGGATTTACTGGGAACCATATTCCAACACCATATGGGAAACTGCACACACATATTTCTGACTTTGTATCTGGAGGTGTGCAATGTAAAAGATTGCCAGTTTAGGGGTACTGTACCCATCCTGACAGATTCCAACAAAATATGTTGGGGTTTGATGGGTTGAGTTCTGTTAGGGTGAAAATGTCACATGTTCATACATGTACATTCATGCACACTGCTTGTACCCGATACCCAGCTGATATATGCTAAGCGATTTTTTTCCACTCAGCAGCTATATGAAAATTGGGCCCTGGGAAGATCACCGCCATAAGATTTGTTAATGACAAACTATACACACTTTTTTTAAATATAAATCTAACTAATTTTGTACACTCTTTGCAAACCATTGATTATTTCAGTTTTTTTTACAATTGCATTGGTTTCTCCAAAGAAACCCATGGCTCTCAAAGACAACAGGATTACAAGTGCATTGAGATCCAGATCCTACCTTCTTTAACCAACATTTAGTAATGAGTTGCGTACTGGCAGACAATAATTCAGGCAGGACTGGCAGAGGTGTAGACTGCTATAACGCTGTCACGCGCAGCCAGTCGAAGTTCTCAATCTGTGAGAGAGAAGATGGGGAACAGTCTTCAGCGACATTTTTTTTTTAGAAACGTGCCTTCGGCCTCGTGGCATATGGAAAACAGGGGCGCTACATTTTTTCGTGTTTCATAAGCATGAATGGGCTAATGAATTTATCTCAAAGTGATCTCAAAGCAAACTTGACACACAGAAAAGACTAAACACACGCACTTTTCAGCGGTTATCCTATTACATGTTCCTGCAGCAGGAATGGCACGTGCATCTTAAAATAATGCAATACGTAGAGTGCAGTATGAACCGCGGTATATGGGATAATACCACACCGTTGTTGCCATGGATCGACAAATCAGGATCGAGGATTTAAGTTTACTTGAAGATAAATTCCCATGTCCTTGCGGGTGTAGTGTAAAAATTTGGACTCTATACAATACAGACTCCTTGTTTGTATTGTGCAAGTACATGTAGTTGCAAATCAGATATTCTTACAGGACACTAACTGCAGTAGTATCTGAGTCACAGAGTTGTAACGAGTCACTCATTTTTGTGACTCGAGTTGAGTCAAGTCATTTTAAAAAAAGTGACTCGAGTTGAGTCGAGTCATTTTAAAGAAGCGACTCGAGTCGAGTCGAGTCGAGTCGAGTCATTTGGTCAAAAGGTCGAGTCGAGTCGAGTCAAATATTTAGCTCGAGTCAATTCGAGTCACGATTATTTGAACACTATATATACCCAAATTTGTAAAAGGCGGCCATATGTTTAGCCAGCGTTCGAATCCAAGAGCTTTATAAGAAATCGCCCAAAACCAATGATGAAACAACGAATCAGAAAATGTGTTTAAAAATCTGGTTCCTGGATAGTATTTTGTGCGCTCTAGAACCATGAGGTGGGAGATTGTGACACGTTGTATATTTGTACATGACTACTATACGCAAAGTAAAGTGAGCATAAATTTTGCACCGTAAGTCATTGCAAATACTTTTCGCCAAGTTGTGCTTTTATTTTTGGGACTCGAGTCTTATTAGCCTTCACTTGAGTCGAGTCGAGTCTTCTGATGAGGGACTTGAGTCGAGTGGAGTCATTTGCTCGCAGTGACTCGAGTCGATTCGAGTAATTTACCCTTAGGGACTTGAGTCGAGTCGAGTCACCAAAAATTGTGACTCGAGTCGGACTCGAGTCGAGTCATTGACTCGAGTCATTACAACTCTGCCGAGTCAATATATAAAACTTTTTAAGCAGGACTCAACAGCATTAGACAATTACAGGCTCCCCAACATGGATACTAAACCAACTCAAGTATACATCAAAAGAGATCGCTTTTTTTTCATTCTCACATTGAGCTCTGTGGACTGTTTGTCGTAGATGAATTTCTTGCCGTTCTTGGTCCGCCGGGCCAGCGTGGCCGGCAGCTTGCGCTTGAGGAAGTTCTTGGGCTGCAACCGGCGCTTCTGGAGCTGCTCAAAGCTGAGCGACTTCATGAAGCTCAGCTGCTTGAGGGCTTTGAGGGACTGGAGACGGTCCAGCGCATCCTTGCACAAAAGCTGCAAGGGAGAAAAAGATACTTAGATACAAATCCGACAGAGTGAAGCAATCACATGCTTAAAGGGAATGTACAACATTTGCTTTTGTTGTAATTTTCAAAAATAAATGGATTTGGAGGATTAGTATGTTATAGCATATATTGTTACACTGACTTGTTTCACGTTTTGGGTTCGTAGATGCTGGAAAAACCACGAAAACCAATCATGTTCTTGTAGTCTGGTTCCCTGAACCCACTTAAGATGCTGGAGCAATTTATAGACATTGGGGAATTGTACGGTTAGAAAATCAGTCTAGCTGGCTTGTACCCCTTCATGGGTGTGTAATCAATTGCAAAGAAAATGCAGAAAAACTAAATAAGGAACAGTTTTTGAAAAAAGCCATTTTTTTCCAACGCTGGTCGGCCGATCAGCGTTGGAAATTGATACAAAAATACCACTTTACTTAAAAATGTCAGTTCACCAGAAGCCACGATTTTACAGGATGCTTTAAACTGTCATTCACTAAAATTTCAGTATAGAATTTCGTGATAATTTGATCATTTTGTTTTTTTTATGTTTGCAAATGTTGTATCTTCCCTTTATAGATTACAGAGATAAGATTGTCAATTAAAATAAAAGTCTCAAAACTGACGAAACGTCTGAATGACACACATCTTTCTATACTAATGTCTTTCTCCCAGATTCAGATTTCAGACAAAAGTCTGAAAATTTAGAGGGTATAATTAGGAAAAATTGTTGAAAGTTTTGTAATGAGAATTGTTAAAATGCAAACCTGGTAACACAATTTAAACATGAGATCATTAAACCAAGATCATCACTTAAGATGAAATAATGAACAAACACTGAACTAGTGGGTAGGGTGATTATTATCATATTTACTTCTTTGGTTTATGACTGAATGACTGAGTGAATGAATAGCTGTGTCACTGATTGATTCAGGGACCGAGTGACTGCCTGTCTGTCTGTCTGGCTGTCTGTCTGTCTGACCGATTGGATGACTTGTCAATCAACTGACTGACCGACTCCCCGAGTGAAAAACTGACCAACAGACAAATTGACTGACTAAGTGACAGTAAAATACTGAATGGCAGACTGATTGACTATTAAACTAAATGACTGACATGACTGATCGACTTCCTGACTTCCTCCCCGACTGACTTAATGACTGAGTGACTGACTGACCAACTGATTGACCTACAGACTACTGACTGAGTACTTCGGGCGATTCACAATGCAGTGCAACACCAAGAGTTTGCCACGGAGAGTTCGTTTTTCAAGTTTACGGTCGACACAACATGGCCCATTTGAACGAGTGTCAGTAGAAAACTTGAGCTAATTTGTTATAGATTGGGGCAAAGCATTCTGCCGCCTAACAAAAAAAACTCCATATTGATAAAAGGAAAAGAAAAGGGCAAACAGATACTCGATTCATATGCTTACAAACTTTCTGGCCGGAAAAACTAACAATTTCAAATGTCCCGCGCTGCAAATTTGTCGACCATCTCCCACAATGCACTGGGAAAAATGAACTCTCCGTGGCAAACTCTTGGTGGTGCACTGCATTGTGAATCGCCCGAATTGAGTAATTGATTAACCGTAACTCCCTAAGTGTCGTTGCTAGGAGCCTCCCTGCATCCTACAAAATCCACCGCCGTGTAGTAAACCAATGGCACATTTCTTATACTGATACTATCAAGGAACGTTAAGCCCCATGTAAAGAATACCTATTAAACAGTGGTTTGCCTTGCTGGCAAATTTACAAATTGATAAATGAAATATGACAAATTGAAGGTGAAACCCAAGTTTGTGTAGTAACTGTATGCTTTAATAATCAGCTATACATCTGTTCACATTATATCCAAGTATTATATCAATTAACATTGGATACACCTACTTATTACTGCAGTCTTGAGTGTACAATGTGTAGTAGAGCGGAGAGCGGAGAATAGACAATAACCGCTAACATTGTGCAACTAACAATATCAACTAACAAATCATTATTAGAACCGGTCATCCATGGTATATTATCGTTTACATGTCAGAAACCATCTGTCTAGAGCAATACAAACAATAATGAAATACCATCATGCATTATATTCCCCTTGGGAACTGCCAAACACGATACAGCTAGCGGAACAAAACATGCGGAAACCAATTAGCAAAAAAAAATTACAGATCAAAATCTAAGACCACCTTGTCAATGCCAATTTCCATCTTAAAATACTGTACTGGCCTTTGGCCGAAAAGTGTGTCAATGTTTTGACAAATGTCTGGTCTGCATAATGATTCGGATTCTGTGCACAATTTTCTGAGACCACTGTTCTCTAGCTGTCCTCGACATTCTGGAGAAATGCTTCATCTTGCATGCTGTGTTAAAGCATTTTGTGTTGGTGCCTTGTGGCAGACATTTGAAAAGTATACGGACCAGCAATATCCCAAAAGTTATAAACCCTTGTTTTATAAAAACTTTTTAAGTAGTGTAAAGTAGTGTCAAGTAGCGTCTTTAAAACCTCATTATTTGAAAACTATAAACTACTTTGAACTAGTTAACTATAAACTACTTTTTAAACTAAAACTGTTTTGTGTGGGCGGGTTTGTGTCAGCTGATGAAAACGTCTTTCATTTGCACACCAGTTTTTATCGGTTGCGATGAGGTACCATTCACTACTCCAGACTCAAGAAACACCAAGTTTTGAGTAAATGGGTCTGGGAACTAGACAAGGCAATGTAAGAAGTTTCCGGATGTCTGCTCCCACCCGTTTTATTACCCCATGATACACCGTTTTTGTAACTGCTTTTGGTAACCATGTTCCTGTGTTGGCCCTAATGGACGGTTAAATCACCTGCGTAACCAATTCGTTAGCCTCAGGGCTGCATGAGGTAGGCAGTGAGTACTCCATGTGAAAGACCTTACTGCACATCAGGTGATGGTTAGGTGCTCCCTTGACTGGATAGCTGCCTGTCAGTAGAGTGAACATGATGATGCCTAGGGACCACCAGTCAATGGCGTGGTAGTATGGGTCCTCGTGGAGAATCTCTGGGGCTGGGGTAAATAGAAAGGATGCGTAATGGACAATGTACACAACTACCCATTCAATGGCGACAAAGAGAGTTAACCTACATGATAGTACAAATGGACGCAGGATGCCCAAAATCTGAGACAAATAAAACTTAATGTACACGATTCCATAGGGTTGTCTAAGGGGCATGGCTAACTCGCAAACGGCGATCACAGGTCAGTTGTTGACAGCCGTGATGTGGGATATGTCATGCGTACTACCCGAGGCGAAGCCAAGGGTGCAGCATCCTGAGGGCCGAAAAAAGCGCCAATCAGCAAAAATACTGAAGGAGTTTAACTCGCTATTCGAGAAATAAATTACATCATTGCAGTGTTAAACCTATTAATTACTGTGAGCTTTCCTGCCACTGCCAGATATGACATTGAGAGGTTCAAGTTCTCTGTTGCAAGGCACGCAGGTTCTAAACATGGCCCCTTCATGTGCGAGCAATATGCAACGCGGTGTACCGCTCATACGGCATCATTACAGCTCATAGGGCACTATACCGCTCATAGGGCACTAATACCGCTCATAGGGCACTAATACCGCTCATAGGGCACTAATACCGCTCATAGGGCACTAATACCACTCATAGGGCACTAATACCGCTCATAGGGCACTAATACCACTCATAAGGGTACTAATACCGCTCATAGGGCACTAATACCACTCATAGGGCACTAATACCGCTCATAGGGCACTAATACCACTCATAGGGCACTAATACCGCTCATAGGGCACTAATACCACTCATAGGGCACTAATACCGCTCATAGGGCACTAATACCACTCATAAGGGCACTAATACCGCTCATAGGGCACTAGTACAGCTCATGTGGCAGTGGAGTATGTTGGAAGATTCCTGGAAAACGGACACTTGGCTGTTCTAGACCAATGAAATTACACTTTCCAAGGCACGATACAACAAAGTTACATGTAGACAGATTATGTATCATCCAATCAGGTCATTCAAACTAAAAATAAACCCTTTTCAGAAATTTCAGAATCAATAAATTGTAAACAACTCTGAGAGTTTTATTGAACAAATTAAATTTTCCTCTAGGCTTTTTGGGAACTTGAAGGTAAAAAGAAAAACCTGAGTGATTTTCCCACAGAAGTACACAATTTGAAGACTCTTGCATGTTTTCTATACACAGGACTTTACAAAACCTGAGCAAGGAAGTGAAACGGAATACTGGTACTGAAACAGACACAAAGTATATGTACTAAGTTTTCAGCTTGCTATTTGTTAAAACTGTAACAGTACCTCTTGTTGGGGTTAAAAAAGTTCATATATACACACCCATATACTGCAGTGTGCCACATATTGTGTTGGTTCTTGTGCCACGTTTCAGCCATTTGGCCAGGCCAAAATCTGTTAATCTGATGTGGCCGTCTTGGTCAAGTAGAATGTTCTCCATCTAAATAATGAAAATGTTTGGAAATAAATCTAGATGTTCAGCGACTCGGTCCAAACTAATGTCATTGCTACGGGTTAAGTAGTTCATAGGGACTGCCATGTCTTTGTAAAACAAATTTTCAATAATCAACTTTATACCCCTTGCAGGTAACCCGATGTTCACAGTGACATTTTTGATAGGTTACTGGTTACACCCTAATGTGTAGTTATTTCTTGTGCTCCCTATTCGGGCGATCCACAATGCAGTGCGCCACCAAGAGTTTGCCACGGAGAGTTCATTTTTCCCAGTGCATTGTGGGAGATGGTTGACAAATAAGCCTTTTCGGAGTTCCAACTGCGCATTCATAACCTGTGACAACGCGCATTGTTTGTCTCAAATGGCCTTTGACATCATCGCGCCACTGACTTTACAAAAAGGCTGTTCGTGCATTGTGGGTACTGTCAAAGGGCATTTGAGACAAACAATGTGCGTTGTCACAGGTTACGAATGCGCGCCGTTGGAACTCCGAAAAGGCTTATTCGCAGCGCGGGACATTTGAAATTGTTAGTTTTTCCGGTCAGTAGTTTCATAAGTGTATGATTCGAGTATCTGTTTGCCCTTTTGTTCTCTTTTTATCAATATGTTTTCTGTAAGGCGGCAGAACGCTATGCCCCAATCTATAACAAATTAACTCAAGTTGTCTACTGACACTCATTCAAATTGTTCATGTTTTGTCGACCGTAACCTTTCAAAATAGACTCTCCATGTGGCGCACTGCATTGTGAATCGCCCAAATTCTTGTGACTTTGATGCAAAGCCTTAATTAGGGGAAACAAATTGCATTTGCAATTGCAAAAACATGACATTAATTAAAGTCACTGCAGTTTTCAATGCCATCATACCATGCCAATCACTTTCATTTCTAGCGAGTGTGCTCCTTTAAGGGCAACAGAATGATTTCCGTCAGTCTTTAAAGCCAAAAACAATGTAAAACAAAAACTTTCTCACATTGTTCTTAGCTCTATGAAACGATGCGATCCAGATTTAAATGCACATGGGTGTTGTAAACATAGAGCTACATTAAATTACTAGAGCGCTAACTCGATGTACAAAGAGATGCCTGATGTGCGCATCCACGTTTGTACACAAACCTATGGAGAACTAGAAATTTGTACGTATTTTGTATGTCTATTTGCATATCCGCGTTTGTATTCCATACCGGTGCGTTATCAAAGCCAATACGCCCAAAACGGAAACAAACGATCAGCAAATGAGCGTTTCATTTTGCTCTACGCAAACAGCGCAACGCGTGAATGTATTCGCTGCAGATGCTTTTTGCCGTGACGTTTTTTTAACTGTCATGACGCGCTTGTTTGTGTATGTTCTACTTGCGCGTTGCATGTAGGGTACACTTTCAAAATTCAATCCATCTAATTTCAGTATGTTCTACAAACACGCACATGAATTCAAAATGTCTGCACCCAGGACAATTTCAAAGCGTCTCCGCGCGCAATAATGAGGAGTTAACGCTCTAGTAGTTTAATATAGCTCTATGGTTGTAAACAAACTTTCAAAGTACTTCAAAGGCCACCGACTATCACAAACATACACAAGCAGAATACTATATGACCAGGTGGATATCATGCTACAAGGCAGAATGATAAAGCAAATAAAAAAAAAACCCTATATATCGGTGATGGTTAAACCCGATACTGGATCATAAACAAATGGTAATTTGCACAAGTTTGTTTATTCTTCATGAAACTGAGAGGGACTTTAGTGTAGGTGGAAAGCGAATGACACGTGTTATTCAATGTATCAGCATGCATAATGTCCAGGGGCAACCACATGGAGATGCTATACACAAAAATTTACTTTAGCTAAACTTAACAATCAAGAAGTCATGTGATTTACCTACCTATACTATACAATGCTTGTGATTTTTACAGCTTATTTCTGTAATGTAAATTTGCTATGCAATCATTTTTTTGGCATAGCAGCTCCATGTACCTTGGCCCAGAAATCGATTACATGTAGTTCTGAAGCCGAACCAAAAGACTGATCAGAGAAACATTTGCAAACCAAAGCTGAACTGACCAAACCTCAGGCTTTACTAGCAGCACTGGAGTCAATGATAATATGTGTGCAGGCAAAATGCTTCTACATGTATACATGCACAGTTACTCCGTGTGTGAAATAAACCATATGTGAGACAAGTTACATGAACTACGGCGAGTGGATGAATCCAGTTCCTGATATCAAATATCACGACTACAAAGAAAAATGCACTGGGGGAAAAAAATCTGAAATAAATTAGTGGTGGGAGAAATCGGAGATGTCAAAATCCAGTTATCCTCATTTTTTTCAAACCGAATAATGGTTATCTGATTTCACTGGAAGTTCCCATCCAGCTCACAGTCATGCCAACAAAAAGTGACGCGTGAGGCAGTCCTTCTGATTTGAAAATCACAGGTGTGTGGAAAAAAGCACACCTGGATTTTTTTAAGGCGTGTGATTTTTCTAGGCGTGTGATTTTCTAGGTGAGTCATTTTTCTAGGTGTGTGATTCTATGGTCCAAGCTGGGATATATTTCATAATATTCATCTTGGTTTACAATATAGCCATTTTCTCTTCACTGACATACTTTATTTTTCACAAATTATGAAGTAAAATTATGCTGTAAATGTTGGCCGAGGTGTGCGGTACTGAGGGATTCAGGCGTGCGATTATTCGCACTTCTCAGGAAGCTTTTAGGCGTGTGATGGCGTGGGGGTATGATCGCACGCCTCAAAACAGAAGGACTGGTGAGGTGCCACATGAAATGCCCTCCCAATGACTGGGTTTAGTTCGCACGATTCAGTGACCAATGGGCCTGTACAAAAACACTCCAGAGCTGTTATGTTGAAAAAATATGGATGGGAACTCTCCGGTAAGTCCAATGGGCAGGCTATTCATATACCAAGAAGACCACTAGCAAGTGAATGCAGTTACAGAGACCAAACAGCAATTGACCTATTTGTGGTAGAATCGCGTTACAATCACGTCAATGCAGCTTGTGAGATATTGTCCAATTACATGATATACAAATGGACGCTGAACACGCAAAATCTGAGTCAAACAAAACTTAAGAGTACAAAAACTCCATAGGGTTGTCTTAGGGGCGTGGCTAACTCGCAAACGGCAATAGGTCAATTGGGGGATGTTCCAGTTGCTTTCTTTAGCCTGCATCACACAAAAAATGCAAGGCTTAATATTTTTGTAAGGTTGGTTTCGAATATCCGGTTTCCAAAATCAAACCGAATAGTAGAATTTTAACCAAATTTTTAGAAATCTGGATTTAAATCCCACCACTAAAATAAACAATGCAACTGGACACTAAGTAGACATTCAACGGAAAACAAAAGAAGCAGTTGGCATGGACATAAAATAATACAATTAATGAAATACATGCAAAGGGAAATCTTGAATGGCAATGCAAATGAAAATTATAAGTGTAAAAAAAGTACCTCTATAAAGTTGATATTGACTCGACAAAAAAGCGAAAATAAAGTTGCAAAAGTAAAGTGCAATATAACGCTTTACATTGGTTTTGTTTACAGTACACTGAATTCCATAAAAGTCAAATGCAATATTCTTGACAGCATAATGTTTCTACAAACATCTGGTAACATCTTTGGTTACACGTTTTTTCAATAAAACCTTGTCCTAATCAAACAAACAGTAAATGGATGTAATTCAACTCGGGAATACGCTGAATCATCCTGAGGGCAGCAAAAGTGTCCAGTCATAGTGAGTAAGCATTTCGAGAAATTCCAATCAAGTTACAACAAACTGCACTCAAATCATAGTCTTCACAAAAGTAAACTTTTCGTCACTGCAATATGCATTTGGAATAAGGAGATCTTATTTCAGAATTGAACCTTCATCGGCTACAAATTGTGAGATGAAATTTCATGCAATGGCTAACTGGAAAATCCGTAACTTACAGAGAGACGAACAATAAGCAATTTATTGTTCAGAGGCAAGCTCTTATGGAAGCATGGAAAAATAGCATTTTCAAGAGTTTCTGACTTTTCTTAAATTCATTACTCCCAAGTGTACACAAGTCGAGCTTGGCTCAACCCAACAAAAAGAGTTAGAAGTCGCCAGCGCTATATATTTAAGAGATAATCTCTTTTTTTTTTATAAGTCGAGCACAATGCAATCAACAGAAACAGCTAATATCTTTCATCAAAACTATAACGAACCACCCTCGAGAAAAAAATATTTGGTTATCTGAAAAATTAGGCCTACACTTCCATTTTTCTGTCTGATGGAACAAGATCCACTTTGTGAAAAAGAAGATTTGCTCACAGAAGGCACAAGAGCACAGGCCACAAAACATGGACAAAGTATCCATTTATTTGGTCAAGAAATAGCTTTTCTACAACTGACGCTAAACTGTTTCCCCTTGGTGACCAAGCACATGCATAATTCCAGCAAGAAATATAGTGTAATGACACTGAGATGGTTGCTAAGGTTCTCAGATGAAAAATAGCCTACGGGAAAATATATCAGCCGTTCGAATAATCAAACCCAGTTCCAAAAAGGGAATAACTCATTAAACTAAACTGTACACCTTCTTATGAGTATTTTCATGGGATTGGGTATTAAACATGATATACAATGTACAAAACAAATGGGGAGATGCATGGGGGCAGGTAGTTCAACTCAAAATGATGGAGTCGAGGTGCTGATGATAATGATGATGATCGTTGGTGCTACACTGACACTATGCGTCTAATGTCATCTAGACATGCCAGGCCACAAGTGTGTACGGACATAGCCAGACCTACTTTCAGATCTCTAAAGACAATGCCGGCGTTATGTAGAAAATCCACGACCAGTGCAAGTTCGGCTATGTAGAGCTGTACGGCGGCTTCCGAGAAAGCGCCCTCTAGCAGCCAGAGCGTGTACAGGTCTCCATGGGTTGCATAATCCATGACTGCTTGTTTTGGAGAAATGGTTAAGCACACAGTGGATATGAAAAAGGGTAAGTATCCAACAAATAGTGTCAGGTAGGTATATTTGTAAAAGAATTATTTTGTTAGTAAAGTTACAAGAGAAAGCATACAGAGAACAAAACACTTAGAAAATAAATACCAAATACACATTAACAGCAAACTCAGCAGTTTTATCATATTATATTCAAATGAACATTTAAAATCATGTGATTTGTTTGTGTGTGTGAAGTTTATGTATAACACTTGTTTATGATTGATAACCGTGGTCATGTTTGATCCAGTTGTTACATGGATGTTGTTGCTGAAGTATATGCAATGAAATTTTCCATCTTTCTCAAATATGCTCACATAAAAAAACACGATAAGCAAAAATCCCTCCTCGGCAGGGGTCTGGTTATACACATCTATTGGATGACAGTTTTTAACTTTTGCATTTCCTAGACAGCCCCTGTACAACCATTATTGTTTTTATATGTTTATGTCTGAAGATTTAAAATAAATATATAAATAAATAAACTACAGCAGAAATTCTGCAATAATATTTCACAGTTAAGTGAGGAAGTTTGGCTTGTGTGCACATACCTATTCCCCGGACTAAAAATTAAGTATTTGAAGGGTTAGCATGGAATATCTGCGCTTGAGCTGCAAGCACAATTTTGTATTGCAAGCAGTAATCCCGTGGTTAGTAGAACCATAGAATGGGGTCCTGGTTTTGTTAAACTTCAAAAGATTAAGTGGTATATATCCCAATCTTCGCTGCTTTACTTTGGGTTTTAACTCAAAGAATTCATAGCGATTGTGTAGTTACGGGCCCCTTTCTTATAAGAAAACACAAATCCACATTTAGGTGTTTGGACTCACCAAACCAGCTAGTGATATTTACAACCAATGTGAGTGCCATAGATAGAGGGCAGGGTTTTGATTTTTTGAGGGAATTTTTGGGGTAAAACAACGATGAAGGTGACAAAACACAACATGAGTATAAAGTTGACGATCACCATGACGCACCGTTAATGCGCCAAATCACGTTCATTCGCATGACATCAACTGAAAAACGCATAGGAAAATCGCATTTTCTGTCAAAAGACAATGTTTTGAAACTACAAAAAAATAGGGTCATTAGAATTTTAAAAAGACTGCTGAAAGTTGAAGAAGAAATTTGGGAATGATAAAAAGCTCTCGTGACTAAAAGGAACACAGATGAAAGAAGTGCCCATAACTACACAATTGCCTAAATTATTAACTGGATACTGTGTTTTGTTAGATTGCGACTGGAGAAATTGATATGAAATTGCCTGTACATTACCAATGTGCAGATGAACCTTGTTCTGCCATGTCTTGTGTATTTGCACTATGAAGGCATGATGACCTACCATCCTCTGATAACAAAACAGAAACAAAGAGTTATTTATTCGTAGTGAAGTTATATTTTGGGACATGCACTGCAAGTAAACATAAAAAACCCAGAAATATTTTCACTTTAATGAGGTTGCTAGGAAGTCAACAGGTGGTGTAGCACAGCCAACTGTTACTGTCTGAGAGGTGTGTAATATTCACACTGCATAAACACAAAAAGCCACACATACTGAAATTTGTATCCTTGTGGAGAAATTTCTTTGTTCTCGTGTACTAAAGTTTTCGAGTTTGAAAGTAGGCCTACAGTTTCAAAATGCTCTTATTTTAACCAGAATTAATTTCCTTTGCTGAAATTCGTACTTAATATCCCTTTTCTAAAACTCTACCATTTGCGACAATCAACATACCTTGGAAATTCCTAGTTATTGGGTAAAATCCATATATCTGTTTCGTGAAAACCTTGTGGAGACGTATTCATCTATAGAAATTGCCCTGTGGAGACGTATACAATCTTTTGTTCCCTACTGTGTGCATGTCTCCAGAGGGCACAGTGTATCAGGTCAGTATAGCCAGTCAGTCAATATACACAACTTGGACACATGGCACAAGATGCATGTACCCGGTATACACCTAACAGGCAACAACCTTTCTCTTCTGAGTCACTGTGAAATTCCCTAAGTTTTCCCTGATTTTTTTTAGTTTTCCATGACAGGAAAATAGAATCTCATTTGCAAGGTTTTCCTTGATATCCAGAGTGACTGGTAACCTGTATCTATGGGAAAGAATAAAATACAATATTTGGGACACAAAGTACAAGGATGTGATTGACATGTAGTATAGATGGTTTTAACTGACACGGTGCAGGTTACAGAAGGCACAAAAGATAAGAAAAAGAAAAGAAACTAGAGATTGTGGTTGTAACTAAAAGCTGTTCCCAAAATGTTTTTGACTGCTTATTAGATAAAGAAAATTACTTAATGATTTATCCAAAGATTGTCACTTTAAAAATTGAAATGATAATCTTTAATAATTGCACTTCCGCTAACACCCGACGTAAGGGTCACAAGACCTTGACATCTACTACAATGCGCCGTGAAAATGCGCATATAATATGTAGTATGCATAATAATGGTCAGTTTTGAAGAGCGCCCCCATTTGGAAGATGGGTACCAGCCCCCAGATTTTCTGCTAACAGAGCCTCCGTCTATTTCCTGGAGACCGTAAGCATAAGCACAGCAAAAGGCACGCTTACTTCAGAGGAATAATTTGCTTAACTCTGCGACGCAACAATAGAAATCTCTATGCACATGCGTCCGTCAGCACATCCTCGCCATGAAAAAGTGTTTAAGGTTAGGAAATATGTCTGCTATGCTAAGCACATCTTTTCTGCTAACTGTTAAGCAGCGCCGTGAAATTGGGCCATGGTCTGACAGCTGTTGAAACTTGAAGCACCTAAAAAGCTTGAGCAGTCTAGGTATGGATGAGGGAGGGCGCTGTTGCAGTTTAATAGTCCATTACATCGACTGTACTTACTTGAATGCATGCCTCGTCTTTGCATTGCTTCACTGCATCGTTGCGTATGATTTCCTGCTTTGACATCACCTGCAATGCAAAATTGGTTGGTTGAAAGTCAAGGGAACGTCCAGGGAAGTTGAAAATCGGCGGGAACAACAGATGGACAAGTATCAACTGTTATTTAAAGGGGCACAAGGTCCTGAAATCCTCGAAAATTCCATGTTTTGAATTGTTTACATAGCCTATTTCAAACATCTGGTTGAAAGGAAACCAACCTAATGTCTTACCGTTCCCGAGAAAAGAAAAAAAAACCTGCTTGTTTACATCGGACACGACGGAGCACGAATACATTTTTCGTGTCGTTCTCAGTGTACAATAAACACGTTGTGTGTCTCGGGAACAGCGGTGACCAATCACCAATGCAAAAATAGTGGTTTCTTCAACGTCTGCAAAAGACGAACACTTCACGAATGAAATCACAATTAGCATCCAAACAGCTCGAATTTATGGGGTCGCAAAAGTGGACCCCGAAATTCGTTCTCGCACGCATAATACAGGAATAACACAAAAACGCCCAGTTTTGAAAGGATAGTTGTGTGGATGTTTATATCCTACTTTTAAATGTTATTTCCGATTAAAATCTTTTCTTTCATAGCGTATTTTGTAGCCCAATTGGGCTGTTCCAGGACCTAGTGTCCCTTTAACTACATGTATATTCAAACATATTTGCAGTGTGCAAACTGATTTCACACAAGCTTTCAAAGGTGCAGAGTGTAAGATAAATTGTGTACTGCATTCCCCACTTTTTGAATGTCCAGAATCAGAAATTTTAATGATTTTTTTTCATCCTCATCCCTCCCCACCAATGACCAAGTGTTTGAAAGAATCCATGCCCTTGCCTGATACTCACTTTCATGGCAAAGAACTTCTTGTCAGACTGTCGCTGCACTTTCAACACTTCCCCGTAGGCACCTTTGTTGATTTGGTGTAAAACCTGTGGCAAAACATCTATATAATAATACGAAGTCTCTGTTTGGATGCTTGTTTCGATGTTTGTTTGGATGTTTGGCCGGGCTTATTCTCAGAAGTGGCAGGTTGCACAGCGCTCAAACTCGGTGGGTGGGTGAGGCTTGGTCCAACTTAGATTTTTCCAACCTTTGTTATAAGCGATTGCGACCCGGGGCCCCTCCCCGGGGGTCCTCTACTCTCCGTACGTTGCTACTGTGTCTGAAAGGGGAATTCCCAAGCTCTGTACGTTGCTATTGCAACTCAAAGGGGAACACCCAAGCAACAGGCCCATATGACTATAGAGGTGGCTGTTCATATGGGTCTGTATCATACAGCGTACAGCGTGACAAACACAGCACCGATTTCGGGCCGGTTTCGGGTGCAATAGTGAGTAATGCATCTGAAAGGGGACACCCCAAGCTACACCCCAACATAACTATAGAGGTCGCTGTTCATATGGGTCTGTATGATACACATTGACAACAAGAGCACCGATTTCTGGGCGGTTTTGGGCACAACAGTGAGTTATGAGCTCCGTGCGCGACCAAAAGAGGGCGCGTTTTTACCTCTTTTAAGAGCTCCGTGGACAGGGGACACAGCGTGCGCGTACTGTACTGTACTGGTTCGTGCGCAAAGTATGCACGACTTCCTGAGTGTGCAAAAGCTATATAGCAACGGCGTCTTCGCGTGAGCGTCAGGCGTCGTCAGCGCGCAAATACATTCGAATTCAACTTGCAATGGTGTCCGAGACTAACCCCACCTCCAATAACTTTGGAGACATTCGAAATACGCAATGGATGGATAGGGAACCAGTCTAGATCACCCCAACTCTCCTTTTCTGACCGGTGATGGGGTACTTATGCAAGGAGCGGATAGGCCGGGCGGATTCGGGCGCAACAGGGACTAATACATCCAGCAACTCTATGCGTCCGACGAACCACTTAAGCCGGGGAACTGCCTAGGTGCGTCTCTGTGATATGAATGGATGTGACCCACAATACAGTGTGCATCCAGCAATTCCCTTGGAGGAGGACAATTCTCAAATTCACAGTCGGCATCCTTCATTATTTACATGTGAATGCATATTACAAAAATGCACTGGGAAGTCTCGCAAAATTATTGAACTATTTGAGATATGGCCTTAATGTTGAACAATTCAAAAAGCTATTAAAAAATCACATGGTGACGTCACCTCATTTTTCACCTATAACCCAACCCTGTTTACATACATACTAAGTTTCGACCTAATCAAACTTGTAGTTCTCCAGTTACAGGACTTGTAACATAATGGGCAATTCCACGGTTACTCACGTTACATTTTCCTAACATGAGTGACCGATTTTGTGCGTCTTGTTTATCATACATAACACATTTTTCTGGATGTCATCTTTGGTGCTTAGGTAGGTTTAGGTCTACTCTATCTACCATGGGGATAACAGTTGTTAAACCTTTTCAGTAAGGTAATTACAGCCCCAGGAAACTCAAAAGTACATCAAAAATGTAACGTGAGTAACGTGGAATTGCCCATATGGACCTTAAAAGATGACTTCACATAACCCATGATGATGTCACCGTGAAGTGACTTTGTTTTATGTCAAAAGTGCCGCGCTTAATAGTACTTGTACAAAATCTACAGGATTTGGGTTTAGATAAACAAGGTTAACGAATCTGAGCAAAAACAAAGGCTTTTCTGCAACTTTGCTACATTGTATGGGCTCCGTGCACAAGTACCCCTTCAACGGCCAGAAAAGGAGAATTGGGGGAGATCTAGACTGGTTCCCGGCACATCCACTGCCGATTCGAATGATTAAAAGTTATTTGGTGCGGAGATTAGTCTGGCAGACCATCCAAAGTTAGATTCAAACATATTTGCGCGCCGACGATGCCTGACGCACAAGCAAACACACTGTGGCTAACAGCTTTGACACATTCAGGAAGTTGTGCGTACTTCGCACGCGAACCAGCACACTAGTACAGTACGCACACGCTGTGTGTCCTGTCCAAGGGGCTCTCAAAAGTGGTAAAAACATGCCCTCTTTTGTTGGCGCACGGAGCTCATAATCAAACTTGTCCAAATACCCTTAGACAAGCTTAGGCTGACTTTTTGCAAATACATGTAATGCAATGTAAAGTTGTCATCTTCATGGTAACCTCTTGTGAATCGTTCAAGTGGGTTAATATGCTAATTTCACATACTTTATATTCTTTTTCACCGCTCCTAGGATTGACAGTGTACTCGGGCAAGAAGATGGCTTCGGTTCGAGGCACGGGCCACGTGGTGCGGGAGGCCAGGTAGGGATCGGTCAGCGAATTCACGCTGCGACGTCGCCGCGACGTGCGCGACCACACCCGCTGGAAAGTATAGGCACTGGCACTTCTGGGGATCTGTAGACAATGCAACAAGAAAATACTGACAGTTGAGAAAAAAACCAAGAGAACAAACAATGATTAAAAATAACTTCCTCAGCCATTTTGCTAGGATGTAGCCTCAATCCTGCAAAATCCTCCAATTGGCCTCATGGAAAAATAACATCTAGCCTCAATCATGCAAATTCCTCCATTATTTCTTGAATATGATCCATGGAGGGGTGACTACTGCCTGAATACTGCAAAATCCTGCGGCAGTGCATGTCAATATGTTGAGGCTTGGCCAGTGACATCCTGCAGCAGTACAGAGGATTTGAAGCACAATCAAGGCCTATATTTATGCATGGCTGAGCAAAAACAACACAAGGTCCGGCCCCAGACCTTGACAAAGTGCATCCTACGAAATCAGTAACGCACTTTTGCCATGTAACCTCAATCCTCCAAATTCCTCCACTTTGGCAAAGAGGATTTTGAAGGGTTCAGGGCGGTTAGGGGCAAGTAATTTTAGATCAAATACATCTTAACAACATGTCTGCTCAAGTTTTACATTATTTACACAGGCTCAGCACCCGATTTCATCAAACTCCTGGTAACTTGTGATGAATAGCAGCGCAGCGCTGCGACGCATTGTATCCCTACGATGCGTCGCAGCTGCGACGCAGCTGCGACGCATCCTGCGATCCATTTCACAAAACACGTCGTAAGTGTGACGCGTCGTATGTGTATTTATAGCACAATTCAGTGACTGTTTCATGTATTTAGTCAGCGTACAGTAACTAGTCGTCTGATATTCAACAAAGAGTCGTCGGATCTCAGCTCTAAATTTGTTAAAACGTAAAACAAAATGGCAGTCGTGCGATGCAATTTTGACGGAAAACAAGCTCTCAGTGGATCGTATAGCTACTTTGAAATTTCAACTGCAATATTCCAGTCTAATTCATAATTATTCAATGAATTTTCTGTTTACAACTTTACACACATTGCCTCGGTATTATAATCTCGTTTATGTAATGTTTATGGCATTAAACTGGCTAAGAAAGGGACTCTTCTTATTTTGCGATGACCACTAGACACATTGTAACTTGCGACGTGTTTTAAGCTGTTGCCAAGGAACTAACGATGCGTTCAACTCATCGCAACTTTCTTGAAATGGATGATACGACGCGTCGCGAGTTGCGATGTGTTACACATCGTAACTTGAGTTGCGACGCGTCGCAGCGCTTAGTGAATTCGGGTGCTGAAGTGGTTGCCTGTCCTCCTATTATGTGGTCAGGTCTCCAGTTACTCAACATACTCACATCTTGTCTACGGTTACCGCTCAGTCGGTTTCCCATGTCATCAGCAGGAAACAGCCGTTGGGTTAAGTAAGGCACTTCTGCTGTTGCTATTCATTATGCCCTTCAGAAAAGAAAAAAAAACAAGTGAGAAATCAGTAATTCTAATAATTTAAAAGTGATTGCCAGGTTATATAGCAAGGAGTGAGTTATGGTTAACAATAGTTTGACTAATTTCACTCAATCTCAGGAAGCGATAACATGTCCTTAAATCGTGCCTGGTCAAACTTAGCAGGGAAATTAATGAAAACACTCAGAATACACTCAGTCAGATTGATTCAGAATTTTTCAGACCACTCTCAGTCAGAGCATAGTCATAGCGTTTGTGCACAGGGTGTGATGTCATGGATGGCCAGGTACGAGTCTATGACATTCTTTCCAACATTTTTTAGTAATGCTCGCATTTTTTTGTTTTTTTTTGCAAGTAGGCCTATCCAATACTTTAAAAATCATTTGCCAAAGTGGACCGCTCAACATGCTCAACGCAGCCCTGATCGAGCATGTCGAGGCTCGAGTTACCATGCATGATTTAATAAGCAGGTCTTTCGGGACCGAGTTGGTTGTTATGTTAGATTTCAATCTTGATTGTGTTGAGAGATGTCTTCTTTAAGAAATATCAACGCTAAATAGAATCCCATACAAGAGTTCAATAAGATCACATTCTGATCGTGCTTACAGTTTGATCCCTTCTTCGTCGGACATCGTAATTGTATGAGGAAAAGTCTTGCAAGGCGGAACGAAAAGACGTCCGCTTTCTGAATTTCTTCGTTTTCTCGATGATTGTTTCAAATTAGACTTGTGTAAAAGTCCTTCAGACGTCACCTCATAAACATTGCAATTTTCTTGACGAAATATCATCAAGAGGTGAGAAAACAATTAAAAGCATAATCAATTGAACTGCATTGTTTTGTTTTTGTAAATTACCATACGACATAACTAAAAAAATGTATACAAGTTGCAGACAAGCAAGCAAGGAGAACGACTTAATTAAGTTTAGTCTGGGATCTTTGTAAGGTCGTGAGAGGGCGCCAAATCAATGTTATGGGGGGGGGGCGTGGTGATTTGCTTTGACAAGTTTATTATAGGTTAATCTTCGGAAACTTATGTAGCTAAAATAATTACCCTAAACAAGATCTTTTTCTTTCCTAAAATGATAAACAACAATAAAAATGTAGAAATGGCTGGCAGGTATGCGTTAATTATAGCACATTGTGTTTTATTTAGCTTACAGTTCACTAGTACATGATGACATATTTATACACAATTCTGCTCAATATTATCACCATTCATATAAATTACATACGTGTCATATAGAACTGGTAAGCATTTTAGTGAGTTTGGTACCAGTTCACAGATAACTCATTTATTAATGACGAATACAAATTGCGGCAAGTTTCACTTGGCAGAAATACCTTTCAAGCAAAAATTTCTCTCAGAACGGGTTCATTGGTGACAAATTTACATACATGAATTAATCTTTTGGCATTTTTACTTACCACATTGATGACATCGACAACACTGACATTACAATCATCAACACTATCACAAAGATTGTAGTCTACACGTTAGAGTCCTACTCGCTGAACAGCTGCTAGATAACTTTACTTTTGGATCATTTAATTTCTGACTTTTCACAGGAATTCATGTGTCAACCTTGATTCTTGTTTCTACATTTAAAAGTATCTTCAGATCATGTTTTAATGTGGCATCTAACATTACTGTACCATGTTATATTTTAATACTTTCACAATGCTTAACAAAAATACAACAGCATTTTAAGTGAACTCTTGATGAGAAACATGACAGTAATAAAACACAAGTAAAAGGAAAACAACTCAACAAAATTAAACAAATTTATATACTTATGGTTTTAACAAAACCATGCAACACGATTTAACACAATAATTATAAGGGTATATGGGTAAAATGGCCAAATATACCTCCATGAATATAACAGAATGAGTTTGCACCAGGCATTGTCAGCAATGCGTGCAACATTCCTCCAAGATCTTCCCCAACTCTCCTTTTGTAACCGTTGGGGTACTTGTACACGGAGGCCATGGCAAATCATATCCACAGAATCCGTCTTCTTTATTTAATAATAATTAAGGGCTTTACAAAATGAACCTTAAACCACGTACGAAGATACAAAACCAGATCTACATCAATGGAAGAATTGTTGGGTACTTAAATGGAAGCCAATTTGGGCGATTCACAATGCAGTGTGCCACCAAGAGTTTGCCATGGAGAGTCCGTTTTTCAAGTTTACGGTCCACAAAACACAGCCCTTTTGAATGAACTTGAGCTCATTTGTTATAGATTAGGGCACAGTGTTCTGCCGCCTTACAAAAACACCGTACTGATAAAAAGAAAAGAAAAGGGCAAACATAATACATGTACTTGAATCATACGCTTACCAAACTACTGACCGGAAAAACTAACAATTTCAAATGTCCCGCACTGCAAATTTGTCGACCATCTCCCACAATGCACTGAGAAAAATGAACTCTCCGTGGCAAACTCTTGGTGGTGCACTGCATTGTGAAACGCCCGAATTAAAAGGAAGCCTGCACTGTGGCTTTGCCCAATATGGGCTGGAACAAAATACACACACACATTATGGATCCACAATAATCTGAAGTGGAAACAAAGTAATTCTTCTTGAGGTCGAGACTAATCAGAGAAGTTTCACTGCTCCGTTCTTGGACATATGTAGAACCTTCAACGCTCGTAAGACCTGTTTGAAATATGGGGAAAACGGAAAGAAGTTGGTAGAACCATGATGGAAGTTATAAGATGGACTTTTTGCGTCGGGGTGATATAAATCAAATTAGGTTTTGCCCTTCACCGACGTTTAAACACTGTATACTCAGTGTGTTACCTCCCGAGTGAAAGTTGGAAAAAATCACTCGGGTGGGGAAAAATCACTCACCAACCGATCCCGTTAGCTCGGTGGTCGAGTGGTTAAGACATCTGCACTAGAAAGCAGGAGGTCGTGGGTTCGAGTCCCACCCGAGTGATTTTTTTCAACTTTCACTCGGGAGGTAACACACTGAGTATACAGTGTTGAAACGTCGGTGAAGGGCAAAACCGAATTTGATTCATGATGGAAGTAAAATGTACATGTATTTGAGTAATTACTGTTCATTTGCATTTTAAATGGAATTGGCCACTTGAGGTGCTATCAGAGAAGAAAGTGGAGAGAAGAGTAGAAAAATGACAACTGTCAGGGATAGTGAAGAGCAGACCTCATTCTACTATTATAAGATTGTGGGATGAAGAGAAGAATACTCATCTCTTTCTTCAAAGGAACTAGGATTTTTACAAAATGTCTTAAAAGGCACATGTACTGCTCATGACATTAGGTTGGTAGGGCAAAACTCAATAGTCCCTGTACATACCTATACCAAATTTGAACACTCTCGGACCTGTAGTGCTCTAAATATAGGACTTTAGAAAATGCACCTTAAAGATGACGTAGCTTTACATGTGATGATGTCGTGGTGACAGGGACATAGGGTCTTTGTCTCTGCAAAGTTTTACTTTACTATGATACTTCTTAATGTTAAAAATGCCTTGTAGAACAAACGTGAACAAAGTATGTAGGACTTGAGATGATAGAACGAGAAACAAAGAAAAAGAAAAATCAGAACAAAAAGAAAGCTTTTCCAGAAAGTTTCTGGAAAAGCCAAATATCGTGTAGCAAATTAAAGGTTTTTCTACTGATTTTCAGTTGTTTACTAGCTGTTTGACTAGCAGATAACCTTATACGCTTATTGCTTGCTTCCTTGCTTGTTTGATTGATTGAATAGCTGCTGTGACTAACTGGAAAGGCGTTCTAGTGTTTTTGAGGTTTTTATTGCTAGACAGAATCACTATTGGATGGTTTGAATGATTGCATGTTTCCATGCTAGCTTGCTTGCTTGCTCTATTGATGGGTCTTGCGAAATTGAATATGTAATTAAGGTCATGCGATCTTACCTTTAACTTTGCTTCTCCTGTTGCTCCGGTTATCCTCAGTCCTTTCTTACTCATGTCTTGAATCGTAAGACTCTCCGAGTTGCCATTCACTTTGAAGTGCTCAAACAGTGTTCTGTACACCTGAGATAGGAAACAAGCTAACTGGGTCATTCCATTAGGTAAGGGCAGAACCATTATTAAGGTATTACCTTTTCACCGTGCCATTTTCCAATAAAGATTAATAAGTTATTTTTATTTAATGCAGTTTTAGTCCATTGTCAAGCAGTGTTGTGCATTATAAAGTGTGAATTTTCTACTTGTGTGTTTGAGAATTATTTCAATTTGTTGTGTTGTGGCACAGCCACGTTTAAGTTGTAAATTTGTATTTTTTAATGTGATAGATATAGGAGAAGTTCCAATTGCATAAATTTCCCATCAACTTATTTGTGTGTCCCCCATTTGTGTATCTAAGCACTAGCATCACCACCCCTCCCATTAAGTGTCGGCACATAGTCTTAAATTGTCTTAAATTGATCCTCTTTTATCGTGTATACCTATTTTAATTAAGTAATTGTTTTTGTTTACTTTTTGGGCAAATAGTTATCACCGTTTTCCAAATCTTCGAAGATTTTTTTCATTTTGAAGTTTTAAACAACTGTTTGGATGTAATATTGTCTCTTTCACCTTTATTTTCTCTAGACACTAGTGTTTTCACTTCTTTAGATGATTGTTGATTTTATGTTAGTTTTTAGTGGAGACGCATTAGTTTCAATTGAAGGGTTTTTTGGTCCTTTTGAGAAAGTTTCTTTTTTTGTTGTTCTGTTGGATTTTATGTTAGTTTTTAGTGGGGAAATATTAATTTCAATGGAAGAATTTTTAGTTCTTTTGAGAAAGTTTATGAGTTTTGTTGTTCTGTTGGACTTTATGTTAGTTTTAGTGGAGAAGTATTAGTTTCAATGGAACTTCTTTTTTAAAGATTTTTTTGAGAAGTTTTTTGTATTTGTTGTTCTGTTGGATTTCAACCTTGGTTAATATACATGTGTACATAAGGATAGATTTCGCCCTTTATTCTCTTTTGTAAGGTAATTATTGCAAATAAAATTATTTTTCCTTATGCATTTTCTTAAATTCTCGACCATGACCTTTTCCATATAATGTCCTTTGTTCTCATATCCACATGGCCCGTGCTGTGTATAGAGTTTGGAGCCAGTAGGGTGCAGAACTCGCATGCCTTATGGCCTTACTGAGGTCACCTCAGGCTCCACCCTGAAAAATATTTTTGAGAGTTTTAAGGGGATCGAAACATCATCTGCAACATCAGCTGACATTTTAAGAAAGAAAAAAGTAGGAAAACAAAAAACACCTGCATTGCCGCACCACTTTTGGGGCAAGCTCCATACCAGAAACCAGAGAATTTTTTGGGCCTTATCACAGAATTAGAAATTAATGTTTTCTCAATAATTACGGCGTTGACATCAGCCAGTTTGACCCGTCCTCTGACCAACGGCGAGACTGACTGCAACTCTTCCTCTGTTATCGCTGTAAAACCCTCATTTCGCGCTCTCTTTTCTGCAATCAATAAAAAACCCAAATTTTTATAGTTCAAGACTTTATGTAAAGACTAATATTCACTCAAATTTACACAGATTGACGTTTTAACTGGAAAGAGAAGGATGTACACCCCGTGATGAATGAAGTCACTGTTTGAGTTTCGTCGTACCACCCACCCTGCAAACAGGACGCTGGGAAGGGCTGATTTGTTTGCGCTCTCATTGGATAGATTCTGCGTGACCTGTGACGTAGCATGCAGCACGCAAACTCACTACAACTGTTTATGATACATGTGCACGCTAGCTGCATGTGAAGGTCTTGATAAGTTACCCAGAATGCCATCCGTACTTCCTTCACAAGATTCTGTGAAGCGGCATCAGCACTTCCCAGCGCCCTGTTTGCAGGTCGGGGTACGAGCAAATGTTTAAGATAGATGGTACCGGACACCATCTGACTATATGTGGTGCTATTCATAGGGAAATGTTTGGTACAGACACATTGAATTTATTGGCGGGACAACAATTTTAACTTAAAGGGAAGGTGTTTGTCAGGGGCTGGAGGAGGAAAGGAGGGGGGAGAGTACTCATGGAGTGCTGTGGCCTCGTGGTTAAGGGCACTGAATTCATGGTCTGCGGGTAATTCTGCAGGTTGTGGTTCGAGTCCAGCCAGGGGTTATGGTGCGTGTGCCCTTGGGCAAGGCACTTTGTCACTCATTGCTTCTCTCCAACCGGGAGTAAATGGGTACCTGTGAGGGCAGAGATGGTTATTGTGATTGAATTAGCTTCCTTGCGCCTAACAGGCAGCATCCAGCTGTATACTCCCCAGGGAGCGGAGATGGTAATTGGAATGTTTCATTGGCCCAATGATCAGGGGTAATAATAATACTGTAAGCGCTGTGATTTAGTTTACTAATAAGAGCGTTCTTAAATGCTGATTATTATTATTATTATTATTGAAACCTGTGAGAAGACTCATGCTTCTAAAGCTGAGATGGGCAAACGACAACTAGCCGAGGCTTAAATTTTACAGACTTGAATGGGATGTAAGTGTGTTGATTTCACCTTAAATGAACAGCGGAGTATAATTCTGGCTTTGTTAACTACAAAGAATTTTGGTAAATAATCTGGGGATTATCTTACCGGCCTGTGATAATTCCGAGGTGGCTTTTCCGGATGTATTTTTTGTTTTTTGAGAGGATTCCTAGAATGAAATTAAAAACAAATAATAGATGAAAGTTACATTGAAATGTTTAAAACATTTGTAAGTCTCGCAAAGAAATTACCCGTTGCCCTCAGTTTTACAAAAATAAAACTGGCGTAAATATTATAACAGAATAGCAAAGCCCCTTTTTTTCAGGAAATTATAATTGCTGAATAAATAAGGAGATCTAGGTTGTGAAAAGAAGATTGAATCACAAGGTGATGGTATATACATGTACTTAAATACTTTATGTGATCATATACATGTACATGTTATCTGAATCAAAAATGTTATCTGAAATTGAAAAATAAAGGAAAACAAAACAGACTGGTAGAAACAGGTGTACAACTTAATTGATTGCATCATCCCTTCGGATTCTGCTATTGGGCCATTCCAGATTAGTCATAAGCCCTGCCCACCTTTGATTTGTGTAATTTCCCACTGTGCTAGTGACCAAGTTTGACTGAGCCACCACAGACACCTGACCAAAACGTGTAATCTAATTGGTCGACAGGCACTGCGCTGTTTGATTGACATGCAGGAAGAGTCTATTATAACGTGCTGGGTGTATTGGTTTTTTTCAGCCTACCTGTGCTGGGCTTTCCTTAGTGCACACCTCCCCATCGCTAGTCTGGTTGGTGTCTGTTTGGTCCCCAAGACGCAGACCCAGGATGGAATCCACTACTGCTTCCTGCTCACTGCTGTCTGTGATCTGGTCAGAAAAAAGGAAAAGCAGTTTTAACTATTGAAGTCGGAGTGAAGTTGTGATGACACTTGTCATTAATAAACTTGTACTTGTCTGATTTGTCACCCTATTGAGGGCACTCTTTCCATGGCAGTTATTTTGCTGTGCGCAGTGGAAATTACATGACAACTTGTTCAAGTTTTTTTAACCCTAACTCCCTAGGCATTTTTGCTCAATCCTGTAAACTCCTCAAACTGCCTCAATGTAAAAATAGCATATAACCTCAATCCTGCAAAATCCTCCGTTATTTCTTGAATGTGGTCCTTTGAGGGGTGACCACTGCTTCAATCATGCAAAATCCTCCTACAATCACTGTCAATATGTTAAGGCAGAGCCAGTGACATCCTGGAGCAGTGCGGAGGATTTCAAGTATAGTCTAGGCCTAAATTTATGAACGGCTGAGCATAAACAACACCAGGTCCGGCCCAAGACCTTGACACAGTGCATCCTCCGAAATCAGCAACACACTTTTGCCATGTAGCCTCAATCCGGCAAAATCCTTCATTTTGCAGAGGATTTTGGAGGGTTTTTTTTGGGGGGGGGGGGGGGGTAGGGTTAATATGAGAGTGACATCACAAATTTATCAAAATCTGCGATCACAAAGTGAATATGTTATGTCACTGTGTGCCTGGCAAAATCATTGCATCACAAGTGATGTTTCAAGCTGAAACGTGATCATGATGATTTGGACAAAACTGGGAGAGTTAAGTTTCTGATACCGGTACCTCAGGTACTTCGTGAATTTAAATTCTGGGAACTACAAAATTACTCAGAAAGGACAAAGTTCTCAGAATTTAAGGCTTAAGATGAAATCCTTATTTACCAGGGGTTTCAGATGAAATGGACTTCTGACATTGATCCTACTAGTCTTGTGCACTTCACAACCCTTACAATTGTGCAAAACCACTTTTGCCCATAGAGTTAGCAATTCTTTTGAGTGGTTAAGCTCAGAGCAAGCAGACAGATTTGGTCATGCTACACTACACTACTCTCCACAATACTGTTGTGTGTGTGTGTAGTGACTCTCCTTATGACACTGTTACTTAAACACTTCATATCCCTTCACCTGGAACTGTCCTGCAGGATTTTAAAGGGTTTTACATACATTGCTCTAAATATTGAATACCTATGAGGGTTAATACCCATGTGTGTTATCCCAGCAACACTGACACAATGAAGAAATAGTGTGAATAGACCTTATGCGTTAAGGCGGAGTTAGGGGGGAGTGGTTTTTCTATTGCATGAATAGGCATGCGTAAACCCTCTGTGAATTCATTGTCACTAGATTATAATAACAAAGAACAGCCTCTGAGACACCAATAGTGCATAAGGTCGATTCAAATCAGACCTGAGAAGCTGATATTTTACTGAGCCTTCGGGGCATTTTCCTGTGTATAAAACCTCGTGTCAGTGCAACAAGGTTGTAACTCCATTCTGCAACAAAGTCGTACCTCCCGCAAATACGCTCCGTGCAACAAGGTCGTATGTCGACGTCCACTGACTTTGTGTGTACATCCGGGTTATTTTAAGTGAGATACGACCTTTTGACATTCTGAAACTGGCACTTCACGTACGGCCCATTTTAGGAGATACGACCTTGATGCACGGACACGACGGAATGTCAGTTTTTATGATTGTTAACACTGGCTAAGTGGGGGCCATTTGGTGCACAACCAGAAAAAGGTACCATTTTGGCAGCCAGCAAGATACATGTTAGGCAAGCGAGACCAGCAATGTCACCTGAGCCTGTGGGGCGTTCTCTTGCAGGGCTTTGATGGCCGTACAAGCCGTCTGCAGCTGGCTTCTGAAGTAGCTTGCCATTTGTGACTGCATGGCCTTGATGCCCTCTGCATCCTGCACCAGGCTGTTGTACTCCTTCTTGACCCGCTGCAGTCGCTGCATCATCTCGCTGGGGTTCAGATGCTTCAGTTGGTTAAATAGTGGAAGAAAATCACAGAGATATTGACTTTTAGGGGAAATATGGTCTCCATGCACAAGTGACTATGAGAGACTTGGTCAGCTGGCAGTGATAAGTGCTCACACAAAGATGCTACAGGTTCAGTGTTCTCCAACTTTGAAAATTAAAGGTCGGGGTCAAAAAGGCAAGGGGGCTATAATTATGTTAGGGGCGCTATTTGTTGCAGTCATTCATTTCTTTATGCTAGGGGGCGCTATTTGCAGATGAACATGTACATTATGTACGGATAACAGCTTTTAGGCCATTTCTAACACAGTAACACTAACAATTAAGTACAATACTGGCTCAGCATCATCTTTTTAACACATCAGTGACCAGGGACTCTGAGGCAGTTTGGCCTTGAGACTTTTGACCTGACTGATTGCTACAATGGGCAGGCTTGTCAGTTTGACAAGTGTTGCATGTTACAACTTTTGGCAGAGTTTCTGGCCAAAATATACCCTGGAGGGTAAGGGTAGTCCCACTTGTTTATCTTTTTAATTATTTTTTCCTTTTTTTAAGCATGGCGAGTACTTTTTAAGCTTGGCGGCAGCTTTTGAAGCTTGTTGGGTGCCTCAGAAAGCTTGGCGGGGCACCAGGTTATATTTACAGGTAGGAGATCACTGAGGTTTGTGCTTTTTGAAGAAAAAAACAACTGGTTTTTGCATACTTCCCACAAATGCTCGCTAACAATTCAAGGGCGGATCCAGAACACAATTTTTGGGGGGGCCAAAAAAAAAATTTGGTCCCCCCAAAAAGTGGGTCAAAAAATTACGGCGTGGGGTTCGGGGCCCGTAAGGGCCCCGCAATTTTTTTGGATTTTAGATGCTCTGTGGTGCGATCTGAGGCAATTTCTGACCACTTTAACCAATGTTTTTTGAGGAAAAGATGGTGGTGTACTCATTGCCTGCCTTTATTGCGATGTCACATAAAAAAAAAAAAAATTGGTTTCGTTTTGGGGGGGGGGGGGCCATGGCCCCCTTTGGCCCCCCCCTGGATCCGCCCTTGTAACAATTCAGGTTAAAGAACTCTTTTCTTGTGAGTGATCACAAAGTGTCATCTACCCACTGTTCATGTTTTTGCCATTCTTTTTTTACAGTGCTAGAATATGATATGGTGGAAGGCCGTCTGTTAATTACAGCAATTTATTACCCCACTACATGTAGCAGGAAAGTGGTTACCTACTAAACTGTTTTGTGATAATTACTGCATGTAACTGGTTTTCAGTAAAAAGCAATGATTTCTTAGTCAGCTGCTCTGAGTCATGTCAGTGAGCCTACGGAAAGAATGTTGCAACCTGACGCCACTTCAGCGGTTGTGTACAAAGTCTATGGAGAGTCAAGAATTTTTTTTAAAGTATTTCCTAACAAAATTGGAAATGTTTCTCAGTCCCGGATACATGTCTTATCATCATTTCTGCAATGACTGACCTTCATTGAGATGATAAATGAAGAGAAAAGCAGCGTCAGGTTGCAAACATTCTTTCTGAGCCTTCAAATGTAGTTACACTCTACCTGGTTATTGCCACCCAGTTGCTGCCTGAATTCATCCTCCAGTTTTCTGGACATGTACTCCAGGTCAGACTCCGCTTTGCGAAACTACAGTGACAAAATTGTAAAATTATTGGTTTAATGTCCAAGACTCCAAGTTGTAATGAAAATTTTTAGAAAATAAAATGTTGAGTTACGCTGAACTGACTAAATGCTTAATTTTTTTGGAGGCTGCATTTCAATTTCACAACGTAAAATAGTAAAATTGAATGAAGTGTTTATATTACCGTGAACTGGTCCCGCATTTTTTTCAGTTCTTGTACGCAATATAAGATAATAAATTACCATTCCAACTCGAGCGCATGTGTGACTCAATGGAGAAGACGTTTGACTTATGGGTAACAGTGACCCGAGTTCGAGACGTGGCCATGCCACTCACTCTCCCAGAAGTAAGAGTTTTTTTCTTATATTGTTTTAATTCAAATCGTACATTTAATTGCAGAATATTTCATTTTTTTGGTGGCTCTGAAACATTTTTTTTAAAAGGGAAATATACCCGAAGTCAGAAATTGCCATACTTTTTAGGTCCGATTCCCGTCTCCTGAATACAAATCGTGACGGCAATGTACATGAAAGCGCAGAACCACCTGACCACACAAACTTTTGTCATGGTAAAAAGTCCCCAAAAAACACTCACTGCGCATGTTCAGCATGTTCAATGCAGTTTGCAGGTGCATACACAAACAAAAAATCAGGGACCGGTTCACTGTCAATTGTTGTGTCACCTTTGTGGCGACCTCTAGCCCTATATGGCCATGCACTAGAGCAGACTCTCTAATCTAGGATAGAGTTTACTCTAGTGCGTGGCCAATAGGGCTAGTGACCCTCGATCATCTGATCACGCCCATCCAAATCCAGTTTCAAGGTTGTAGGCCTAGCCTAAGCATGGGTTCTCAGCTCAGTATGCTTGTCACAGGCCAACACTGTTTCGGCGTGCCTATTATAATTTATACATATGACTGTTGGCCTATCTTCTTCTTCCAATTGAGGGCTTACTTTATAATTGAAGACTACAGCACTTGTGTATGTACTATGTAGTCTACATGTTCTACTTCTAGCAAACCGAAAATATTATGGGCGATCGTGTAGTGTAGGGCCCGGTTCTTATAAGTATAAAGGAACAAAATCCACTTTCAAATTATTAGACCGACCAAACTAGTTGGCAATATTCTCAATAAACAGGTATCTCATACTCATACATGTAGATAGAGGGCAGGGTTTTGATTTTTTGAGGGAAATTTGGGGGTAAAATGACGATGACAGCACAGCGACAACACGCAACCTGAAAATAATGATGGAGAAACACTGCGCTATGTCATGTATGTACCGTGAGCACACACGGCGCGCTGAATCGCAAGGCACAAACCGTGCAGGGAAATCGTGATTTCTACCCCAAGAAATTGTTCAAAATTGCAAAACGGATGTCATTACTCCATGTTACTCATTGTCATTAGAAATAGAATTGAGAAAAGTCTGCCTTTGATTGTAAGGTGATTTTGAACAATAAAAAACATTTTTGACTCTTAATTTGATCAAAACAAAACAGGGGCCCTACACTACACGACCGCCTACACGATCGCCTATGACTGAGTCATCGATGACTGACTCATTGACATGTGCACCAGCATGCATGTGTACCAATGTCATGAATGTGTACCATGTGTACGGTGTGAATGTTTTGACATTTTGATTTTGAAAATTGAAAAATTTAAATACGCAGGAAACATCCTGTTAATTACTTACCAGTGCTTCAACTTTGTCTACGCTGTTCGCCATGTCATGACAAAGCTTTTCACCTTCTCGTTCCCCGATTTGTTGACTACTCTCCATCTTTCAAGAATGGAAAACTGTCAAATCAAAACAAATTTCGTCGTTCTTCGTCGCCGATTTTTGCAGGTTTGTGTTTACCGCCCTCTGTTGTTTTTGATTTTATTATCTTCCACGGCGCCCTCTATGGACTGAGCCTATAGGGTCAATGTTCTTTTCCCTAACCTAAACGTGGACTCGTAATGGTTGTATCAAAGTTGTACCTGTGAAATTATCCTTTGAAAATCATGTTATGAAAATCAAAATTCATTAAAAACCGAATGGTATAGCTGAATTCGGTGTCCATGGAGACTGTCACAGAATTCTCTTCAGCATGCTGATAGCTTTTTGAGATGGAAAATCGAGCTAGAAACATCGTCATCGAAATGGGACTCCAGTCGCCGGGTGTGGTCTACGTGTGCAACACAAGCAATGCTAATCAGTAGGCCAACTGTGTTGTATAAATTAAAACGTGAGTCATTTATATGCAAGCGAATTATGTCATACACGTCATGGGTTTGCATTTGTGCGAAATAAAATAGTAAAACTGGTGAACTGCATGGAGAGAATGTGGTATTTATTTAGACAAAATTAATTTTAAAATTTTGGAAATAAGGCCTACTGTCAAGTGTCATGTTTATAAACATGATAAAGCAGCATACTCATGATACTGAGAGAGTTAAGACCTCATAACCATAACATGCATGACATGGTTTAATATAATTTATATGTCATGCATACGTAAATGGATGTTTTCTTTTTCAACATATCTACCTTATTTCTTTTATGTAATTAATGAACCGTCCACTTCAGTTAATAAAATCCACAGTGAAATGCCTTTTTAAGCCAAAAGAGACACATGTTTGTATTTATATTGCAACCAAAAGAGTTTAAAAACATACATGTAAACTGTTCTCTTTCTTTAAATTCACACTAAAAGTTAAGTTCAATTCCTTAAATCATGTAAATCAGAATTAATGTTTGTTTCATTTTTTTAAAATTTCAGGCAACAGCAAGGTTTATGCATGTAGCAGTTGTTTCACCAGTTAATCCTGATGGCCCTGTCCAACATTACCAAGCGATTGTCGGGGGCCCTTGCCACATCCCGAAGTCGCAAGCTCTTCCTTCTTGCCATCTTCCTGCTGGTCCTCTTTGGCTACATCGGGCCGTGGGTCATGCACCACAACCAGACAGTCAAGACTACCATGGGCTGCCTGTCGTTGAAACTCAAGGAACTGGAGAATGACTTTACCCAAGTCGATGCGGCCGTCTTCCATGCAGACAATTCGGACGTCCGCACGGATCAGGTTGTCCCATTTGTTGGCAATGGCAATGTTGGCATTGTGGTCAACATGTTCAAGCCCAGTGGATTTCTCCTACGCAACGAGGAGCAGTGGTTAGGCGTGGGCATGTATCGCCCACTGGTAACCGCCAGACTTTCTGCTCTGAAAGACCAAAGTGCCACTGTTCTTCATTACCGAAAAGCGCAGGTCAAACGGTACCAATGCTACTCAGTTGGCGAGTCCTGCGTGTTAGTCAAGACCAGAACTTTGATACACCGGTTTAGACCCATGCTGATGATGCAGGAGATTATTGTGGAAAACAATGCAGATCAACCGGTGACGTTGGAGCTCTCTCGGACTGGCCCAGTCAAATGGAAAGGTTCCAGCACCACCTCAGAAATGTTAAAGGTGGATGGTAAAACTCGGGACTATGCCCTGACAGCGGGGGACTTGATTGTCGGTAGCGGGACCAATGGGAGGGTGGTTACGCTGGTCATTGCGGCGACTGCTGTTCAGAAGAAAACTGAAGTGCCTGCAAAATCCGTCCACAGAGTGGAGATCCTGACTTTAGTGAAATACTCGGCCCCCCTGAGTGCCAGCACGCCACAGTTGACTGCAGGTCTTGTGGATGAAGTGGATGAGGAGTTGTTCAAGGTGCTCCACGTGGACTTCCAGGAGCTGGTCCAGGAACACGAGGATGCCTGGTCACAGCAGATTTGGAACACAGGACTTATCCAGGAGCCCCTGGCCATCCCTGTAAGGCCACATGTACCTGATGAGCTCCAGCATCAGTTGAGTCACATCTCAGCTGTCCATGTCTTCAACATATTGACCACCACTGTGGTATACTATATGATGTCTTCGACTCGGGCCCCACTCCTGATGCCTTCCTCCTCCCTCCAGCGCAAGAAGGAGGTGATAGGAGCCTTGCAGCAGCCAGGTTCCTGCTTCAACGGCCAGCCAACCCTATTTGATGAGTCACTTTGGCGGCCAGTCCGGACTGACAAGGAGATGGCTGAGCTACTATCCCATTGGCAGCACGTCCTTTACAAGCACGGCTGCCACACCCTATTATCAGTAGGTGTAACTGGCATCATGCAGGCAATGATGCTCAGCTTCCTTGCCGGCCAGTTCACTGAGCGGGAGCTGTCCTTCCACGCAGACCCTCTGCTTTTCCGCAACAAGTTCCACTTGCACAACATCTTCTACAACACCACCTTCCTGCACATAGACATTGACCCGAGTCCGGGCCATGAGATCCTGATCAGCATCACCAGCGTCCAGGCCAACGGGAACAAGCCCATCAATCTATACGCCTGTGGGACGGGATGCGAAGGCACACCTATCCTCCTCTCCTCCTCTATGCAAAAACTTCCCCTCAAATGGACAGTACCCCAGACACCTTTCCTGTACATCTCCCATGACCTCAAGCACCTGGAGTACCTCAAGACAAAGATCATCCACTTCAAGCACATCTATGAACTGGACGATAGGGATGTCCAGCCTTTGGTACCAGTCATCAGTGACAAGAACACTCATCAAGGCTTCCAGATGCCAGTCTTTGCCTGGGTCATCATCATCACTCTCATAGTCATTTTTCACATGTTCCTCCTCAACCTGGTGTACAGGGAATACTGCTCAGGGTCCTCCTCCAGTTTACCAAAGACATCTGAGAAAACCAGCAGAGCATGATGCTGGATAGGGGCAGTGTTGTAGTTGAGGTACTTGTGATGGATCACAAGTGCATCACATGCCGGTCACAGGGAAAATCACAAGTCAATTTACAAAACAAAAATGCCTTTGCTACAGTTAACAATTGTTGACTGCTGCGATGTGGGATATGATGTTTTTAACACCAGAGGGGTGCATAGCACCCGAGATGAAGCCGAGGGTGCTATGCGCCCCGAGGAGGTTAACGGCATATCCCTCACAACAGCAGTCAACAATTGTTTTCTTATGTCGTGCCAATAACTCAAAAAGATAAATGGTTGCAACTTACTTGATGTTGTAACTTTTGATAACTGAAGGTTTTGATGTCCTGCCGGACATGAGACTGAGTGTTTGACGTTGCAGTTCTCATTGCGCAAAGTTAGTGCGCCCGGCAGGTTCCACACGTGCGCGTGCAATATGCGCAATGAACGCAGTGCGATATCACCCTCAGTGTGTGACATGCATTTTTATTGTCCAGACATGTGGCCGTCCTAAACCAATGAAATTACAGTATCCAAGCACACAATATAACAATTCATTTTAATAACTTTTGAGTTTGATTGAACATGCTTGATGACTTGTAATTGATTCGTAATGAACTTGCGACGGCTTGCAGTCTATCCATCACAAATACGTCAATTAATTTCTGAATAGTGTTAAAGAATAGACTTTTGGAGAAATACTGGTATCTTCACATTAAGACTGAAATGTGTTCCCCCTCCCCGGAGGTATTTTGATGCCTATCTCTGCATGATCCAGTTCCCCTTGACAAAGTAATTAAGCCGAATATTGATTGCATGGAGGTGGTAATGTTTCTTTTTTAATGATACATGTAATTGTAATGGGTTTATTAAGAATTGGTGAATTCTAAATTTGGTTTTGGATAGATATGTTATCATGATTTCGATAAGGAGAACTTTTTTTGGTATTCTTTAAAAGAGATATTGTACTCTTTGAAAACAGCGGTAATGTTGTACATGTAAGTGTACATGTATTTAAAATCATGGATGCATTTTTATGGGGCTAATTCAATTTGCAACTAGCATACATACATACATGTACACGTAGAACAGAATGTCAAACTCATGGATGTAGCTTTAATAGCGTTACTTTTATTTTGCAGCTTCTTAAAATACATTTAATAGCAGAATGCTGTTGAGCTTATAAACTTTGTGTCTGGTAAACGCCAATTACCTGCAACAGTCAATTAACAAAAGGCAAATCAGTTGTGTGGGATATTTCACATTTGTTGACTGCTGTGATGTGAGATATGGTGTTCTAATGTAACACCCGAGGGGCACATACACCGAATGCGCTGGTGAAGATGCAGTGTATGGGGGTTCAAAATGGCATATCCCACATCACATGTTAACAACCGTTTTGTTATATCTTGGACTGAGTGGTTGCAGATCGCAGTCTAGACACGAGGTGTGCAGATGGAGCCTTAATGCGCAGGCAACGCAATATGGTGTATATGTGGTAGTTTATGCAATGCAGTGTATATGAAATAATTTATGCAAGGCGTTGTTTATGAAGTACATGGCTCTTTTTATAGACTTAGGCCATCAGCCTTGGTCCAAAATTTTGGCCACCGGTATCAAATGAGGGGAATAATCGTCATAGCGATTTTTGGCAAGGTATACACCTCCAGAGTTGGAAAATATGTGATAGCATTGCAGCGGTGGCAGCTTTTTGTGTGTTATCACCCTTTTTTTCAAAATGTCCATCAAAATGCTTGTTACCACTCTAGGGGTGATATACCTTGCGCATGCGCACTATAATCATTTATGCCCTGATTTGATACTGGCCAAACCCCCAGGCTGATGGCCTAACTGGACATGTGGCCCTTCTACTCTCTAGACCAAAACACTACAGTATAAACGACACGATATAACAATTACCTTTGTATCTAAAGCTTGTCAAATGCAACAGGATTCAAGAGTCAATAGCATGTAACTATAACATTGTTTGAAAATGGCTGGTCAATATATTAGCTCCCTGGGGAATTTTAAGTTGACAAACTACAAGTTGACAAAGTACATGAGGCGAAGCTCAGGGAACTATTTTGTCAACTTCCAATACTTAAAGAGATATACTGTACAAATGTACATGTAATATCAACTATCCGCATGTAAAACAAAACAAAATGTTATAGGCCTATTTGTTTCTCATGCACCAATGTACATGTATTGGTGAGCAGTACCCAGCACAATTGTTAACATTACTCGCATCATGTGAAGGTACATTTATGTTAAGCACCGTCGATAACAGAATTTTCAATAATCGATATATTGGAAATCCAATATCGAGAATATTCGATACAAATCTCAGCAACGAGTGTTTGTCCAGAACGGGGGGTTTAAACTATTATTATTTTTTTATATTTACATTGGGGGAGACCGCGAATCCGAGCGAACACAGAGCACAAAGCGACGCCACTTGGCATTTTGCGATGTTTTTATTTTGAGTCACAAGCACAAGTTGCCGCCGAGTTTTATTTCATTATACAGCAAACGTTAAACACAAAGTATAAGCACAAACGGGAGATTTACTTTGACGATAATCTGACACATTTTCGATATGATTCCTCAATATCGAAAATTTCGACATTTTGATCTGATTAAAAAATTGCTATCAGCAATATCGATATCAAAATAACATTGAATAATAGAGTAATATCGATATATCGACGGTACTTAATTTATGTACATGTCATGTGCGCCACGTATGTGCAAGATACAATGTATGCCATGTATGCATGTTAAAAACATAAAACAAACAAGCACAGATTTTTATTATTCAGTGAATTTATTGTTTTCAAATGTTTTAACTTACATAGTTTAAGTGTAATTGAATGTAGAGTTTGCAGTACTGCTGATATATTAAGTATGTTTGAATCTTGCTTGTGGTTTGAATTGCAGTTGAAAGGTCTTTTTACGTTTCATGGATAACTCCTTTTTCATGAAAGAACAAATGTAGTTTGATGATGAATTTTTCAAAGCAAAATGTTTTGGCAAAAGTATAGTATTTTTTTTGCATGGTGAGCACTGAGGCACATTGTTATTTCTGATTGGCCATCTGTTGTGTATTTGGCTTTATAGCATCTGAATACACATACATGGTTATATGACGATTAGTATGGAAAATTAAATTCCTGTTGTGACCTAATTAAATACATGCATGTATAATGAATATTCCCTGAAGCTCCAGTATAATGAACAAAATACATGTACATGTATTCTGGGCAGTTTTGTGCATGCCATGATTCACCTATAAACCAGTTTCAATGCAGTTTTGAATTTAAATAACTTGTATTAAATAATTGTTTAATTCTAACATGTGCAGTTTTACGTACATGTGCATGTTGATTTGACTGTGAGGCAATAACTGTGCATTTACATTGCTGAATTTAAGTACATGTATCAAGTCCATGTTCACATGTAATGAATATAAAATAAAGATGGTGAAAAACATTTGCTGAGAAAGAAAATACAGTACACAGTGATCAAATTAATTGTTTTCAATGTGTTTGTGTTATTTGGTGGCCCCACACCATGAGCTGAAAAAAATGCACTGGCCTGATCATGATGCTATGAATGGCAATTATTGTCAGTGGCTTTTTGCCTTCAAAAATTAGGTTGTTTTTTTAAATTGTAAACGCTTTACATTAGAGGAATGTCTTTTAATGGGAGACTTTTGAGACGCTGGTGGCAGCAAACACACCGGTCCTTTTCAATTGTTTACGTAATTTTTAAGCTAAAGCGCAAATACTCAATATGACGCAAACAATGGAAAAAGTTTCCGATTAGAAAGTTAATAAGGCTCATCTTGAAAGTTTCCAATTTGCAAGTATGACACTCTAACCACACAAAAAAGTATTCCTTCTTCATTTGGCTTAGATTTTTTTTTTACAAAAATGTTTCCTTTCAGAGATAGGTGTATTTGATAAATTTAAATATGGATTGCATACTCACATCAGTCTTGGCTTTAAAAATAATCCTTGCATGATATCTGTGGGAGGAAAGTCAAGAAAAATGTTAACATCAAACAAGTGCATAAGTCTAGATGTGAGTTCTAATTGGCCGTGTAGTCCTCTCAAAATGTGTACACCTTTCCCGTGGTAAAGACAAAAAGATCGCAAAAATCGCCTCATTCAGTTTGACAGGAAAATGCATCCCTTTCCTCAGCATGGGATCAGGATCAACATCGAGATTTCGCTCGTACCCCCCGTCCTGCAAACAGGGCGCTGGCATACGCTGATGAGCTTTATAGGATCTTGTGAAGGAAGTGGGAATAGCATTCTGTGCAACTTATCATGACCTAAGTATAAAGCATCTGGCCGCAGCTGTTTAAGACCGCAGTTAGCCAATGCGCGCAAATGCTATCCGAAAACTTTCCCAGGCACACATTCCTTACCGGAAGTGATTTCTTTTTCATTGCGGACCATGTGGACAAATTTTGAGCGTCGCATGCGATTTGACCCATCGTGAATTCGAAACGGAGCCTGCAAGTGACGAGAATCGAAAAATTACAAAACAAATTAAATACATACGTTTTACAGATTTCCCTATTTTATTACGCTTTTCGACGAAAAATGGATTTATGAATGGGAATCAAAGAGTGACGACTCGGTTTTCCTTGCGGGGTCGTGGACGTGATGACTTGCAGGTCACAGGTCACGCAAAATCTATCCAATCAGAGCGTGAATTCATCAGCGTATCCCAGCGTCCTGTTTGTAGGGCGGGGGTACGAGTGAACATGAAGATATGGACGAGCGTGCCCCCCCCCCCCCAAAAAAGTGTTCAAATGGTTTTCAATGAAACGCCCGCGCTTGTTTTATGACGAAACAAGCACTACACCCGAATCTCAAAACACAAAACGGCCCTAACTATCTGTTCTTGTGTAGTATACATGGGTTTCTTTCGGCGGAGCATTTTCGAATATGACCAAAGATTATGTTCTGCGGATTTTTTCTTGCGATAAAATAAGTGACAATGATTATTGTGCTACGCACGCGTAGCTGAGGAGCTGACACCGGTGAATTACCGGTGAGTTTTAGAGGAATCGACTTTTCAGGACTAAGTCAAGTATAAACTCCAGACTTCTTTGCTGTGGCTAGGCTAAGTTTTTTCCATCAGAGTTTACTTACTTTAATGATCCAAAATTGGTATCATGATTCAGCAAATACGTTATTTCTTGCCCATTGTGACATGTTCCTCAACATAAATTGGTTTTACAACCGATG